AATTACGGATCAGGCCATGCAAGCCAAGCCTTTGTCCTTCGGCATATCCACAATTACAGTCAAAATTTTCAATAGGCACCATGTATCAACTTTCACTTGACTCAGCCTCCGGGCATCTGGGAAACACAATGGCCCTTGGCTGACCCTCCCAATTGGTTTCATTCTGTGAATGGCCAACTGACCGTTCCAAATCAATACTGTGATACGCTGGCCGCCGCAATGGTTGCGGCATGGTGACGGAGCAGAATGACACCCCTCGACACGATGACTGACCGACGGCTGACCGATGGTGACAAAAGCCCCCTTGAAGACTCCACACCATCACTGCATGGTGTCTTACTTCAGGGGCTCATCCATATTTGATGAGCCCCTTCCACTCAAAGGACAATGCCCTACCCGGTCCCACAAAGGTATGAATGGGACAGTATTGTTGGTGCCAAAGAGGCGCACAATATGCAATGTTTATACAAAAGTTATTTATAATCAAAACCTTGGGGTTCAATACATTATGTGATTGTATTGTAAGGCCTAAATCTTGTTTTTACCCTAGGGATAATAGAAACGGCCTACACACACAGGACCTCTCTGTAAATTGTCATAAAGGGACTGGCACATTATATACAAGTGTGTAATTAAGGAACTGGTCAGCATCCGAGGGCACTTCTGACAAGTTTCTCTTTTAAATCGAAAACCCTCTACAATTTAATCGGATGGAAACACAACTTCTTGTAATTATATACATGTAGTTTGTCTGATTCAAGGACAAATTGGTAATCATGGAATCTGGCTTCTCATTAAAATATATCCCTGTGTCTGTGACATCCCTTGGGGATGTCAATAAATATTTCATTACTTGAAAATGCAGCAATTACAGACTAAATGCTCATTAGTGACCAATCAGATGCTTAAAGTTACAATGTAATAATAATAATAATAATTACAGTGCTTATATAGCGCCTAACACTTACTTTGTCAGAAGTCTCTAAGCGCTCTACAATAATGCAGCATAATTACCCTGGCTTTAGCAGTGCAGCTGTTACGCGCGCTGCGTTTCAAGGAATAAATTCCTACCAGGTACCCATTTACTTCACCTGGGTGGAGTGTGGCAAATGTAGATCAATGTCTTGCCAAAGGACATTAGTGCAGCGACGGGACTCGAACCGCGGACCTTGTGATCGACAGTCCGGCGACGTATCCACTCGACCACAACACCTCTAAAGGCCTACTTATGTGGTGAATATTAGACAAATTACTTTAAAGTACTCAATTTGCAGTTCTGTAAAATGTGTTGTATAAATTTTGCTTCTTTGTTAATATTTGTTCTTGTTCTACATAGAGAAATTGTGAATTTCTATAGGAAACACTCTGAAAGCAAATCACGAAATCATCACTTTAAGTTTGATCAAAACACAAAGTTCCACTAAGTATCATGAGACAAATCGTCGCTGTTTTCACGAAGTGACGGTAGTGAAACAAAATTGCATTCACTTTGCGTTACGATTTTCCTCACTACCGTCACTTCGTGAAAACAAGGACGAAATATTGTCCACATGTACATGTAGTTTAAGTAAAAAGCAAATTAGAAAGTAGTCAAATTTGAGAGATTTGTAATCTCCTTGATTTATAATAAATGCATATGAATGAAAATCTCACCAAGGGGCTATTCTTTGATCTACTACTGACTCATCCATTCAAAGATGTTTTGACACTAAAAATAAACATTTCATACTCATATCTTACATGTACATCCAGGTCTCAAATACTCTTGGAAATATCAATTGTGCATTTCAAGGTAAAGAGATTTTGTCTGATTCATGCATTCAAGGGAAAATCTCAATTCCATCCCCAGAGTAAAATGCTTTCCCAGTTGGCCTACTACTTTCCAATAAAGGAGTTTTTGACAGCAACCCAGCCAGACAGAATTCTCTCCATATTTGGTTGCTGATAGGATTTTTGTGATGGCTTGTTGGAGGCTAAACCAGTATCCATTTAAGGTTCTCTCTTCTCTATCTTTCCCATTCCTACTGCTTTCTCTCTCTCTCTCTCTCTCTCTCTCTCTCTCTCTCTACACATTGTGTTTATACTTTATATAAATATATTTATTTGTTTTTCCCTCACTATTTTAATCTTTTCTCCCATTCTTACCTTTATTGAGGTCTAAATATCATCTCTATCTCCTCTCTTCCTTTATACTCTGTTTTTCTCTATTATCTCTTTCTCTATTTTACTCACTTTTCTCTCTCTCTCTCTCTCTCTCTCTCTCTTTCTCTCTCTCTCTAAAATCTAAACAATAATAATTAAAACAATTCTAATAAAAATCCTTGAGAGAGTTCTCTTCTTCACTACATTACATTATTTATTATATAATTATATATATATATATATAATGCTTCTTTCTCCCTCTTTTCCCACTTTCGGTACCTTTTCTGTGTTTAAATTTGTAAATTTCTTATTTTCTTGATCTACAATAAATATGCCTGCCTACAATTCTCTTCTTCAATCTCTTCTATTCTATCTTAATCAGCAAAACAAATTTGTTGTAGCAATTTAGTAAACTTAAGATTTCTTGCAGCACTTTAATTGTTTTCTAGCCAGAGACAGAGTTTTCTTTTAGTTTTCCAAAGCCTTTTAAAACATTCTATATCTCCATGTAAATAGCCCTCCACTCCTGTGTATTATTATTTGCTCTACATCTACATGTACCTGTATTGTACCTCTATTCCTTCTCCATCTCTCCCTCTCACTCTCTTCCACGCTGCTATTTCCAGCACCAAAATCGACAAAGATCCCCAAGGGGGACAACCAATGGGTAATTTGTTACACCGCATACCCAAGAGACCCCTCCCCTTGTTCCGCATATTTTTTTCATCGCTATCCCATCTTTTCACACATCTGTTTTGTGATGGGATGCTTGGTCGGGGATGATTGACTTTTTACCCATCGTGTGTGCCCGGGCGAGCTCAATTTAAGGGCAGCTGCCTGAAGAAACCGCCAAGACAAAAAGGGATGTACTATACATGGATGGGTACTTGCCTGGAGCAAATTTAGAAACGTGTTGTAACCGCATGTGCCTCCATACATTTCAATTCTTCATAGGCCTTGAGATGTACATGTATGCAGCTTTGTTTGAATTCAGCTGTTGAGCTGCATACCGACACAATTGCTCTTCTCCTTTCTTTGCCACAAAACTGTATTACTTCAAATTTCTGGCAGAAATATGAAATACTTTAAACTCATTCAAACTGTACAATATTCTGTTGTTGTTTTCTAATCAGAAGGTACCTATTTATATGTACAGGTATCTCTATCTTGTTTTAACTTTTAATGCATGAAATAAATTGAAAGTGAGTTTGAGATTGAAATATAATTGAAATAATACACTTAAAATTATAAAAATATCCTTACAACACAAACCTAAGATCTTTTTAATGCTGCATTTCATAAGTTCCTGTTATAAATCCTTTTTAGAACATAGAATACTTGTAAGTCAAACGCATAGCACATGCGCTCCGGGTTACTTAGGGATAAAAGGTTTCTAATCCAATTACTTGCTATGCATTTATAACAGGATCGTTCAAAGGAGGTTCAAAAGGGGGAAGGCTCGCTGATACAGTCCTGATACAATACTAAAAATGTATGTGAAAGATAAGGGTTTAAAAAAGTGAAATTTATATTTAATATGAATTTCACAGCAGAAAACATTCAATTTTAAGTACAGTGTGGTGCAATGTAGAACCAATTCTGAAGTATGGAATATGAGTATTACTTCATTTCCACTTTTAAATACCTGGTAATCACTTAGGCCTACTGCTGTACTGTTATCGTAAGTAGTAAATTGTGTTTATTATTCTTTTAAATGGTTAGGGTAGTGTATTCATGTAAACTGTAAATAATATGTGTTATTTCCTGTGAAATGTGAATTGTTCATAAGGTAGACTTGCATACATAATCTTGTATTCAGCATTATTGTTTTCAGGTTTTCTTCATTATATTACCATCTTAAAGAGAAAAGAATTAATTTTCTCAAATCGAACTACATTTACAAAATACAGTTTTTTGGGACTGGAAAAAATAACACAGAGAATACAACTCAAAAAAGCATACGAACAGTATCACACACAAATCAATAAAACAATTTACGGATGGAATTCTATAAAAGAAACTAGTATTCATCAAAACCATTCGTCTGTCAGACAAGAAAAAAATTGGATGCGGTCAATGACTCTCCTATAATTATTCTGCACATTTCCTGTCATTTGTAAAGCTGTCAGTGGCAAAGTGAAGTAGCTTTGTCCTGGGAACAATTAAGCTGGACAATAGCCTTACGTGTATAATGACTGTGAATTTCATCCCTTGCATAGATCTGCAAATGGTAATGCCTTGATGGGGCAATGCGGCATGTGCTACAGGCAGGCCCAGGTTCTGGTCGTGTATTGCGTAGGCCGTAGGGGTAACAGTAATTGCAACAAACAGCAAATGTACATGTACGGGTAGTCTACACATCTTATGAATGGTATTGCTGCAATGTTGTTCTTTCATTACTCATTATACCATTATTTCTATGTCGGCCTACATTGTGTACATCTAAAAACTCAGAAACCTTATAAACTCTTTCAAAACATTATTAAGTAATTGCTTTTAAGGTTGGGTAGAAATGTAGGAAGGACAGAGTATTGTCTAGATGTGAAAGATATAGTACACAACATTATTACAGCACATGTACAGTACATGTGTATGCTCATGGTATTGAAAATATGCTCCTAGGATAAGACTCAGTGTATGTTTTTCCCATCAAAAGACCAATGTGACAAAACTTGGCAGTATGTAGCATTTCAAACAAGATGAGATGCATCTCCACAACATTTCTCAGATTAATCAAAGGACAATGTGACAAAATGTACAAATACATTTATATGCCGACAAGACATTTCAAAGATAAGATAAGACATCTCCAAAATCCTTTTAAACTTTAAAAGGGCAACGGTGACAAAGCAACTTACCGTCTGCTGTGAGGCGTAATTTGGAGCAGTTTTATCAAGAGAGAAGTAACAGTAATCAAATGAGAAGTGCTTTATACGGTCCCGGTGGTCACTGGATCCTTCAATGCCCTCGATCTGAAAAAAGGAAGCAATTTTCAGTTTAGAAAATGTAAACTTATTTGTAAAATAAACATAAAAAGGATGGTGATCTTATTCTATTCTGTCGATGAATTGATAAAACATCTTTACAAAAGATAAGCATTATGGCACTGAAATGAAAGGAAGTACAAGTAAACTGGACGATATCAGTTCATTAATGTAATTTATTTTATTTCTACATGTACATAATGGTATTCATGTTCACTCCTAATAGCATAAACAGGTTTCTTACATTGTAAATCATCTTTCATTCAGTTTACAGCAAACAAATTATTTGTCCACAAACCTTTCCTTTTCGAGACTATACATAATACCCAACCTCTATGGAAGATGGTTACTTGTTTGCACAATGAAAAAATGTCCTTAAAGGCTTAATAAATGAAATTTGACAAAATCATAACTGAATCCGAAGATGCTGCTGGGCAGACTCTTGCAGAATTTTCCATTATTTATTGCCAAGGAGCTAGGGAGGTCCATTTCTACCTCAATTTAGGAAATGCACTGTTGCTATTTACATTCTATATTCAGCCCGCATCTCGGAAGCAAACAGACGGGGACAAGCACAATGACACCAAATTCCTACCTATGAAGACCCAATAAATTTGATTTCCTAGCCGCACGCTGCATATCAAATTGATTGTTTGGCAATCGGTGTGTACTATTCACCAGACCCCTATACCTGGCTTCAGCAGAATTCTTAGGGACCGTGGATGGTTATGCCATATTGCCTCTGATTTTTAGGGAATCTAATTAGAAGACAACATTACTGGAATGGGCAGGAGTGAAAGCCAAGAGCTTGTGAACACACAGGGTGCCTTTCATCATGGACCTACTCCATGCTTTCATAGTCAGAGCAGGATGAGGTAGCGATATGAATGAATACCTGATATTATTGGTGGTCACGACAAAGCAAACATTCCTAGTAAATTGCTCAATATTGGGTAATAGAAATTTTCTTGAAAGGGCATTATAATTCTTCCTACGATGTATGGCATATATGTGTATGGATAGGATGAAGCAATGAAAAAGTGCCTGTTTATGAATTTTTTTCAAACATACATGTAGTACATTTCTCTTTTTCTTTTTGTTCTATGTAGACATCTAAATTAAAAAGTATAACTTTAAACATAGGGCTACATCTACATCTGCGGACAATACCCCCCCCCCCCCCCCCCATCTTACATGTATTTCAGTCATCTCACTTCTAAAAACAAAAATTTATATTAACAATTTTGTCTTTATTCAAGCTTATTTCCACTAATTGTTGTATCATGATGTACAATGTACATTACCTTAGGATTTGCAACACCTAAAACATTTTCCTGGTACTCGTTCACAACTACTGTGGCCTTTGCATCTTCCTCTCTGCAAAGAAAACAATCATAAATGTGTTTTAATATAACATTATAGGATAAAAACATTGAAAATTGATTTATATACAAATACACTTAGTATCAAATAAACATACTACACCACACCTTGTTGTGAGGTACCTACATGTATTCTCTCAAACATACTGCTTCAAGATGATGACAATCCAACAACAAATCTTTAAAGATGCATTCACAAGTAGTTTAGCTTTTCTATGTACATGTACTAGTAAATTGTCATTTTGGCAAAATCTAAGAATGAAAACACTTTTAGGAAATACAAACCACTTTTGAAATTATTTGGTGAACTAGCAAAAATGTGATTTTATTCCTGTTTCCATCTTCCCTTTCTAACATTCGGAGTAAGTAAAAGACAAATGTTGATATCACTGTAATCAGCCAAAACATAATGGTTGACTAGCCATTTTTTTGTAAATGTCAGTGGCATATCTACATCGTAAGATGGAACATATTTATTCTGTGTAGTCTTCTATGACCAAAGGGTTTTATGTTGGAGGGGTGGAGGCAGTTGTGCATCTCCTTTAATATTTCTACCACTGGTGCCAGAGACCATGCATAGTTTGGTAAATAATAAATAAGTATTTTCTTTTAATAATAAAATGTTTATAACTTTTAAAAAGAATTTAATTTTTAAAAATCACTGATGATTTCAACAAACTGCAATCTACCATTGTCAACAGTTGTTCTTGTGAAATTATATTGAAAAGATTTCACCTTAATCAAACTTATCTGGCATCCACTCACATAATTAAATCATTGAATTGAAATGAATTACTTTTTATCAAATTGAGATGGTTCATTGATTTTTTAAATCATCGCAGTCATAAAAACTGAAATATGATTTTGTACAATAGATGAGATTTTAAATACAAACACAAGTAAATACAATACAAAATAAATATTCAACATAAATTTGAGACCTGGCTTAGTTTACAGTAGAAATATGAAAATATGAGTCTTTGGCTGAATGGCTACGGGTATTCCTGTGAAAACATCAATGTAATAAAAGGTAGAATTTATAAATCTTCAATAATATGTTTTAAGATTCAAATTCAAGAGAAAATAATATCAGTAAAGAACAACTTCCAACAAAATTTGAAGATTGAAAACACTAAAGATAAACTAGTTATCAGATTACCAAGGTATTTCAAACAAAAGTATTTCTCCCCATTTTTTTATCTATCTTCACATTCCTCAACCTCATAAAGAACTAGAAAAGCAAATTCAATCTAATCAAATCGATTTGGGCTCTGGTTCAAAGTTCCTGCAATCTATTCTTTCTTACTCCACATCACGAAACACAAAAAGGAGCATGTGTCAATCTTCACATATTAAACAAGTAAAACAACAATGCATCAATGCATCAATGAACTGGGAACTGGGTAGGGGATCACACGATCAACCACAAGCGATTCCGCCGTATCGCTTGCGGTACTACATGCTCACACACCGTATCAAAGCCCTCACAGCAGCATCATCTCGAATCTCAAAAACAAAGTCATAATATTTTACCTTTTACAAATAGGCCGTACACGGACGGCTACTTTTACGTTCGCCATATCAATGTTAAGCGATAACTTGACATTTTAGTAAATATCCAATATATGTATCCATGTTAGCTTTAGGTCCGAACGCAGTTGGGCTCCTATTCCAATCACATACACGCTATCGATACAACTTATGGAATATTTCGTGGCGCCGCGCTGTGCTGGATGGATACGTCCGGAGCGCTGGAGCTGGAGGAGGGCCTCGGATTACCCTCGATGCGAAAGCGAGATGAATTCTCACAAGCCCTCTTTCGGCAAATGACAGTATAACTTTTGTCTCTTCGTTGTTCTCGTTTGGAATTACATTTATTGAAAAACGTTCTTGAAAATGGTTCTAGATAACTTTCGCTCTAGATCATTAATGTTAATTTGATGCTAATTATATAAAGTTTCAAGTTCTGGGGAGCTTATTTTTTTACGCTGATCAGCATAGCAAAGAAAATAATAGAAAGAAATTAAAAACTTTTTTTTGTATTTAATCGGATATTGCTCAAACTTTCACTAATTTCTTTCTTCAATTGTTCTGCTTTTATTTAAACCAACCTAATTTGAGGGTGGACTTTCCCCCCCTTTTTTTTACTTGAAATGCAAAGGTCGTGGGCTGGATCCCCGATATGGCACTATTGTCCTTTGACAAGGCATTGGTCTACATTTGCCACTCCATATAACCAGGAGAGAATGGGGACCTAGTAGGACGACGAAAGCCTATTTGGTAATTGCCATATACTCTGACGGTGACCGTATGGTACGAATGTTCCCTAGGGAGAGAAGATGGTGCACATTGTGCATACAAAATAATCTGATGACTCCTTTGTCCAATTTACTTTCATTCGTTTTATTTGTACAATAAATGAACTTCAGAAAATCAATATGTGTATAAGATTTTAGCTAATAAGCATATATATTAGATCAAAAGAATACTTGCTGTCACTTGCTAAGTTTTGTGAGAAAATTGTCTGTTTATAATATCAATAGTTAAAATGTAATTGTTGATATACTATTTTAAAGCTATAAGTAAATTAATTACTTATGGACTTTTGCAAGACACAATTTGTAATAACCCATGTATGCAATTTTCCAAAAACCCTTCAAACAATATCTAAAGAACGGTATAGACCCGATCCCAAATTACTTCCGAGTATAAAAACATTTATTTTGTAAAATACCATTATTTATTGTGTTGCTTATAGAAATAATTTTCGGATCAAATAGTACGTATAGTAATCTCAATTTTAGATTAAAATACAGGTCTTTTAAAATCGCCCAGAGATGACCTCTCACAAATCGTTGCCATCGTTTTTGGGGTATTTTCTTTTGATTGATAGAGTGACCTACAATATCCAAAAACAACGCAAATTGATCCATGATGCAATTTCTTCGTCACTTGTTAATTTGTCTTTACTTTAAATAAAAGTATTTAAAAAAACATGTAATGACCGAGGGGCTTCAATGCAGGATGGATAGAGAACAAACTGCAACAAAATCACCATCATCGTCATCAATATCATCAACAACAACAACAACAACAACAACAACAACGACATCAACAACAGCAGCAGCAATACAATATCGCTGTCGTATTCCAAAATTTGTTTTTGCCTCGTTTGCCAATCTCTCCCCTTTTCCTTCTCTTTTTCATTCTCTTTCTCTCTCTTTCTTCTACAACCATCAGTATTTGACAAGAGTCTACAAGTTGTGTATACAGTATCGGTATACTAAAAGCAGTCCGAGATTTTCTTTAAAAAACGATATTTAATTAATTAGTGCCATAGAATCTTAAAGTGTTTCGTAGGGGAGGGGAGGGGGTTCCATTGTCTTATGTGCCTTGCTTATATGGCTTGCAATAAAATTTTAAAAATATGTGAAAATATGCATTATGTATAATCTTCCGATAATCATTGTCTTTAGTGAATCGTAACTGGAATAATACTATTTTTTCCAGACATCACTTTATGATAAATTCCTCCACTTTATGTTTATTCATCATATCTGACTTTTAAAAGTTGTTTTGCATTGTAAAATACAACCAGGAAATATTTGATCAATTAGATTATTTTATTTGTTATGCATAGGACATTTTTTGTTTTCGTATTACTACCATCATGGAGAGTATGCAGTGCGATTTTCTTCTGCATGATATTTGTCATATCGAGTCATGTATATAGTTTTGATATTTTTTATCATTAATTTTGTCATGTATTTGAAAAGAAATGGTAAGTATGTGGAAATGGAATTATCTTTAACTTTGACCTGAAGATTAGATTTTTGGAATGACTCAAGTCATATTATGGAAAGTTGAGATTGCTCGGTTCCTGCCCTCTGACACAAAATGGATAAAGTCGAATATGATGCAGGTTTATTTTTGTAATTAAAAAAAAAATGGCACAAGCGAGTATTATCCAAGATTTTCAACCCCGGCACCCCCGCATAGGCCTATATTGTAATTATTGATCTGTGAACTTAATTTTTCTTTTAGATTGATAATGACAAAATTCAAGAACAAGGGCCACTTTGATTAAATGAAATCAATGTATTATTCTTTAATTTGGACTACATATATTTTATATTGTTATTCCTTCATGTCATAAGGTTTCCCTCTTCCTTATCATTTTTATGATTCTTTCACAGTTGTCCTATCTTTTTAATGCGCATAGTAATAAAAGCACAATTTATTGTTAGTATTATTATTATTATTATTGTTATTATTATCATCATTATTATTATTGTTATTATTATCATCATTATTATTATTGTTATTATTATTATTATTATTATTATTATTATTATTATTAAAAACTCAGAAATAGATGCTGATTGGAGTGAACGTCTCCTTCTTCTTCTTCGATTTCTTCATCATTTTGCTCTTCCTCTTCTTTCTCTTCCTCTTCTTCTTCTACCTCCTCCTCTTCCTCTTCTCTCGTATTTTCTTTTTCTTTTATCATCTGTGTAAAGCGCATATAGACATCCGGGTATTAAATCTTCCTGTTCTTCTTCTTCTTCTTCTTCGCCTCCTCTTCTTCTTCTTCTTCTTCGCCTCCTCTTCTTCTTCTTCTACTTCAGCGAACTCGACGATCATCAGTGCAGCGCAGAGGCCGAGGGCGATCAATACCGGTACCTATGTGGTGGACGTGGACGTGGCCGCTATCAGCTATCGTAACTTGTGAAGTGTAACCGAAGACGAAGTCCCTTCTCTTAGTCAATACAGGTGGTCTAATTTATCCCTAAAAGCATAAAAATGTCTTTGAATTTGAAGCTCTTACCAGTTGGGACGGATCAAACATCACTTTGCTTTGATCAGGATATATTTTTGAGGGTAAGTGCTTCAATTATGAAATTTCCTTTACTTCAGTCCCACTCGTTAAATTCAATGTGTGTGGTGATGAAAATTTGTTCTTCGTATCGTAACTTGCATAAGGAAGGTCAAACAACATATTAACTTCAGCAAATATCATAAGACTTTTGTTGTATTAGTCCTCCCATATTTTATTGTAAGAAACGACATCTACTTCAATCAAAGTAAACTTAACAATGCTGAGTTGCTGAATTAGCTGAAGACGGTGAAAGGCGACGAAACGGCGCGGCTAACAAAAACATTGCAACATTCTTGTCTAAGTATCAATCATGTTAATTGCCTTTGCTATTTAAGCTTCGAACTCGGTATCAGATAAAGACAAAAAAAGTCTCAAATTTAAAGCAAATAACACCTTATGACTATTGTAAGGAAGTGGATAAGAGAGAGAAAAACCAAACTTTTTAATTATGATAACATTTTCATGCATCTACTGATCTAAAGCTTTGTTCAAAGACAAGGCATCATTTCAGAAATGTTAATAAAATTAGGTTCTAAATGAATGTCAGATCTAAATCAGTGTGAGAACTTGGAATTCTCTTGATTTATAATCTCCATTTACAGAGTAACCCTTTTCCCTCTCATAATGAAACAACAACAATGTTAATAAGAGACAACCAAAATATTTCTCTTTGTGATTTCAAACCTCTGAAAATTTACAGCCCAATGCTGTTAGCAAGTTTAAAAATCAACACTCTGAAATCTGAAGAAAAGAAATGGACAAGTGCTGCATGTGCAAGAAAAGTCCCAGAACGGGTACATAGATTTCATAACATTTACAAATAAAAACAATTTTGTCTTCTAAGTATTTCCTTTACCTTTACCGCAAATACTGGAAGAATGCTGAGACAGCAGTCGAGCTTCCAGGTCTATCTTCTTGGTCTATCTTCTTTTACTCATACTCTTTAATAATAATTCTCATTATATGCAAGGGAGGCAGAGGGGCAAGAGGTTGCATCTTGACTGGACAATGTACCATGTACAATGTCCCAGGAGCAAAGAAATTGAAAAAATCAGTTCGAGTATTGAGAGATATGACACTGTTCCTTCCAGCAACGATCAAGCCTGGTTTTGAAGGCGTCTATGGTGGGAGCCTGAACTACTACTTCAGGCAGAGAGTTCCAGTCGTCAATCACTCTGTGACTAAATGCGTTCTTCCTTACATTTGTCCTACACCTCGGCTTTGAAAGCTTGAGACTATGCCCTCTTGTTGGTGTGTCTGCTAGTTGGAAGAAGTGGTCAGGGTTGAGTCTGTCATGCTCATAAATGATCTTGTACACCTGAATCATGTCTCCTCTCCTTCTCCTGTACTCAAGGGATGGCAAGTTTAGGTATTTAAGTCTCTCTATGTAAGGTAGGTGTTTCATTGTGGAGATCATCTTTGTTGCTCTCTTCTGTACTCTCTCCACAGCTTTTGCGTCTGAAATGTACCTTGGCGACCAGATTACATTTCCATACTCAAGGAGGGGGCGCACTAGTCCTTTAAACAGCTTGGGAATGGTGGGAATGGTATTGGGATTAATATCATTTGTTTTTCTTTCCAACATGGTTGCAGGGCGACTTTGATGTGGATAGCTTTGTGGCAGAATGCAGGCATCATGTCCAGTTGGAAACCTTGCGAGAGGATCTTCACATCTACTTCAAGACCCTCAAGAATGCCATGGTGGAACTCATCAATAAGGACTATGCTGACTTTGTCAATCTCTCATCGAACCTGGTAAATTGACAGAATCCTAGTTATAAATAGCATTAGAGATTATGCAATGCTGCATATTCAATATATTGGTATGTTTCAATGTCTAGAATTTAAAATAAAAATATGTAAACATTGATAGATTTAAGATATATATATATATATATATATATATATATATATATATATATATATATATGTATATAAGACCAATGTGATATTCCTCTTTTGTTGTCTTCTTATATACGAGTGGCATTATACATGTTGGTCTCTATCTGCATTATTTATAAGTTTGTAAAATTCTACATCATTTAAACAGGTTGGAATGGACAAGGCCATTGGCAATCTCTCAGTTCCTCTTGGTCAACTCAGAGAAGAAGTTATGGTAAGTTTTTTTTTTCCACTTTGTTAAAGCTAAACTTTAGTACTGGTAATGCGATTGCATTGTGAAAGAAAAGGTGTGAAAGGATCAGAAACAGTTGATCATGTAGCATGTAAGTATTGGTGTGCACTGCAAGGTTCTGGAGTCATCAAAATCATAATAAATTTGACCGAGTCTTGGTAAAGTAACAAACACTCACATAGAAAGCTATATATGGGACAACACACATGGTGTCGGGGATGGTACTACCTTGGTTTCCTTGTCTTTCTATGCTCATTACTCAGCCAGTATACATTTTCTTCCAAAATTGTTTGGCACATGTCATTTATTTGTAATCTTGAACATTCAGTGTAAGTTTCGTTTGATTCTGTGAGAATTAATTATTTTTTTTTACCAGTACTGGAGTTTATCTTTAATCTTTGCATTATAACTGAAATCTAGATGAATATACATGTACCAATTAGCCTACCAGTAGATGGATTTATGATGAAAGATGGTTTGTTCTTCCCATGAAAAATCTTCTAATATTTATTAGAAAATTTTATTTTTTTGGTTGAATTTTGAATGTTATTCATTTTTGAAGATTGAAGCTTTTTGTGTTAAAACTGCAGTTCATTATAACAAAACTGATGATATTCTCTGTGTAAACTTGTGAATTATAAAATGCTGTGCACTGCATAACTTGTTCTCTTTTGTTTTTCATAGTGCATCCGATAGTGTAGTAGAAACATTTTCAAAGAAAAATTTAAATGTCTTTATGAATAATTAACTGTTTGTTATGTTATACAGAGTGTTAGATGTGCCATCGATGAAGCCATTCAAGACGTTGAAGAGAAAATGGCTACCAGAAATAGAACTCGTCAGAAGAAGGTAGGGACAGCAAGAATTAAAAAATAAATCTAGTGCCAACAGCCCTTCATTGATTCCAATTTGTTTACTGAATAGATATTATCAATTTAATTTGCATTTTAAGCTTTTATTATTACTAGATGGGAAAATTTAATAACATCATTATCATCTCATGAATGCATTTTTTTAATCTTTGAAAGTCAGGAAGATTTATCATTACCTCAAACATCCTATACTAGAATGAAATGAAGTTTGAGATAGAGTAACAGCTTACTAGCAGTGTAAACAAAAACCTTTCTGTTTATAGGAGCTCTTTTAGGATTTGGTGATGTATAAGTTTGATTTTTTTTCTCACAGTTATTATACCAGAGCTCTTTTGGAGCTTTCAAGAGCTAATCGCTCTCCTTTCTGGTGTATTTTGATTGGCTGATCTGCAAGTTATCAATATTTTTCAGAGTGCAAGATGTAACTGTATGGATGCAAGCCTAGATCAACAGAACAGAGATAAGAGGGACTTGACTGAAAGGGTGGGCCGGTGGGGGTATCAGACTATCAGTTTTTATTAAAGATTATAGAACACATCTTGAAAAGAAAACTATTGATCTGTATTTTTCCTCCATCAAAGGCATGCTTGCAAAGGTTGATGAACATAGTGAAGTCTGTGGAGAAGATGGAGGGTATTCTAAGGATTACAGAAGACAGTGAACCACAGGACAACACAAGCATGTGAGTTCATTTCTTGATTATCTATGACTGGGATGCTAAGAATGCACTGGCATGTATTTCAGGAAAGACATTTGTAGACATACGACATGAAACATTATAAGAGGGACTGAGTAACTGAGGATCATGTCCTACCTATGGTATATGCAGACAAACTTGTCTCAAACAACAGATTTCTTAGTTACATGACGATCAATTCATTTCTCTTCTGATTCATAATAACAACAACAGCATAGTCACATATGAAAAGAGAAGAACAAGCAAAGAGAGCAAGGGTCAAACAGAAGGTGATGCTAAAAGAGATGGAATGGGGGGGGGGGGGGGAAGGGAGTGGTCACCTCCAAGTTTAGGATACAAAGGAAAAGGAAGAGATGACCTTCTTATAATGTAACAGGTATTGGGAAATGTATCACAATGCATTTAGACTTGGGCAAAGATCATAATAACCTGTAAATTTCTTATAACACAATGTATTCTTCTAGTGAACTTACTGGCCAGCAAATTGAGAGAGTGGCATCGGAATTTAACCAGCTACAGTACTACGTAACTCAGAGCAAAGGACTCCCTCTAGTGGAGAAAATTAGACCTGTGAGTATGAGTTTAGTTAGTTGCATCAATTTGAAATTTGCATCAAAAATCTATGAAGGATGACCTAATATATGTATCTCACACATGTAATTTGTAAGTTATCAATTTCTATGACAATCATGGATTGTGAATGATAGCGAACTATAACATGTGGATGATATTAAAGGTACTATGTCCCTTTTGCAGGCACAAAAAATGAAAAGGTTAAATTCCAATGGCATTTGAAAGATAATACTAATTTAGAACTCCCCTTAAAAAATAGGGGCTTAAAAATGTCTTTAAGTGGGAAAATAACGACTTTTAGTTGTCAAATCAACTGAGGAGCTATAGAGCCAATAAGTAATAGTCTTGATTTTCAGACCATTGTACCGCATGGTCGTACGTTTTATGCTGCGCAAAGATTCAATCAGTTTAATCTTGGCTATTACAAAAAGTGGGTTATTGATGTAGACAAATCTTTTACAGCTCATTTTATGTATGTTATTACCAAAGAAGAAAAAAAGCCAGTCAGTCACTCAATACTGACAATAGTGTCTGACAGTGAAGTCTAGCAGGTAAATGGGTTTCTTTGCATAATTTGAATATAAGGACACTGCTAGTGTTTAAATTTCACAGATAGGACATACATGACATATTTATAATTCCTGCAAAGTTCTACAGAATTTGAAGTTGGCTGCAAAAGGGACATAGTATCTTTAAGGTGAAATAGTAACTCTAATGGGCAGGAATTCCTCTTTTTGTTGTCGATAGTTTGATGAGTAATAGTCTTCTGTTTGGGACATTCATCCATAAAACATTTTTTAATACATGATATATATAACACAGAAAACACACATACATGTATATTGCATTTGAACAACTCAAGAGGTTCTCTTTGTTAATAGTAATCATTATGTAACATGTGTCTGTACTGGAACTTTTTCAGGAACTTTTTTCCCCTCGTAATTTTTCTAGTAGTACCTAGAGGTTATGTTGCCATCTCACTTGGTATGCAAAACAGGTAGCTTAAAGTTTAAAGTGATCATAGCTGCCAAAACACAGATTATGGTGACCCTCTAGTACAGCCTAGATAAATCTTTCAAGGACGGTCTCAAAGACTGTATAATGGCTCTTATTATTAACAGAGAGTCGAGTGACTGAAGCAAAATTTTAATTCTTATTTACACAGAGAATAGCTGCCATTACTGTGACCCTCCAGTATAGTCTAGAGAAGTCTTTCAGATTACGTTCATACATGAACATTGAATTTGAATGTCTCAATGGGTATTCTTTACCATGTGTCTCTACTGGCACTTTCTTAGGAAATGTTTTCCCTCTTGCAATTTTCTCTAGTATTGCCTTTAAGTTATGTTTGTGACCTCACTCGGTATGCAAATCATGTAAACAGAGCTTTTTTCATTTCCACAGAGGATAGCTGCCATTACCGTGACCCTCCAGCACAGTCTTGAGAAGTCTTTCAGGGAGGGCTTGGGAGCTGGGGACACCAATGTCCTATGTCAGTGCCTGAGAACATATGCCACCATAGATAAGATGAGGGATGCTGAGGCCCTCTTTAGACAGATTGCTGTCAAACCGTACTTAGACGAGGTAAGTGATCATTTTATCTTGATCCTATTTATCGATCCTCTCCACCTTTGACCTTTGTGTTCCCTTTCCTTCTCGCTACTTTCCTGTTTGTGTCATTGTTGGTTGCTCTTTCTATTTATTTCCTTCATGATCATCTTCTTCCCATTTTGGATCACCTCCCTCACATGTTAGAGACTGATTAGCTTTGATATTAGTAGACTGAAATATCTTTGATTCGATTCTAGGCATGAGTAGTGACTAACATTTAGATAAATTGTAATTTCTAGTATGGCTTATTTAGACAGAAAGTGAAAGCATAAAGAAAATAACAATAATATCTTCTTTTTGTATAGCACGTTTCACATGATGAAATAATGATTCTATGCCCTTCCAAAGGACTTTGGATGTTATTACCCTGGCTTTTGCATTGCCTACCATAGAACTTAGTGTATTTAAGGAATGGTTCTAGTGTGGCGAATGTAGATTAATGTCTTGCCAAAGGATGTGACTACTGTATCAGGGATTTGAACCCTTTACCTTATAGTTTACAGTCCAGATACTAGACCCCAGACTAGACCACAACACCTGTAACACAATATAACACATATTTGGGCATGTCAGTGACAATTTACACTCTTGTTTTCTTTTTCTGTCAGATCATCAGTGAGAGTTTCCTTCACAACCATCCTCAGGGTCTGAAAGGCATGTACTCCAGAATCCTAGACTTCATTCCCAAGCACTGTGACCTCATCCGTGAGGTCACATCACCAAGTCAAAGGTAAGACCTAATTGTAATCATGCCATGCCTGAGTGGTTAGGGTACTGATCTTGGACCATTCAAGGGGAGGGGACGTAGGTTTGAAATTGGATCAATGTTCCTGTGCTAGGACTCAATATTCTCCAACTGATTCCTGTTAGCATGTACTTGCTTCCTCACTGTATCTGGATAATCAGTTGTAATTTACACCAGGCAACAACCACTCACTATTCAACAAATCATCAAGAGAGTGAAAAAAGAATTTGTGTATGCTTTGTTCGAATATTTATGAAGTTATCGTAAATATATTGTGTTGCTTGATGTGCAAAAATGAATCGTTATAAATCTATTTTGTAAATTATTGTGAACAAATTTTCCACAAGTGAGATTTAATAAAAATTTACTTAAAATACATGTTTACTCGAGTATAGCAATATTCATGACGGCACCACTGTTTGTTGTGTGGTTTTTGACATATCATAAAATTGTGTGCATTGACTGTGTAACAATCTGACCCAAGCGTTCTATTTTTCCTAAACACCTCCAGTGCCAGTGGACAGGAGATAGTGAGAGGCTATGACTTCCCAGTCAATGCTGCATGGCCTGAGATAGCCAGCAGTCTAGAGGCCAGGACGCCGTCCATCTTTGCCCCCGGCAACCCTGATGTATTCCACCAGGTGAGACATAGTCCTTCTTTAAAAGAAACTTTGCAAACATGTATGTGAGATGCGAGACGGTCTAGTGGTACATCCACTTGGTCAGCTCTGTGTCTGTTTAATCTTTTTATAAGTGTAACTTGTGGCAAAAAGACCTTGTCGCAATTCAAGATTCAAAATTCAAGATTTTATTGTCCATATATTGTCCCCCTTTTCACGAAATGACGGTAGTGAATGAAAATCCCATACAATTTGCGTGCGGATTTTCCTCACTACCATCACTTCGTGAAAACGGACGATATATAATACAGAAATTTGTTTTCCATTGGTGTAACATGTAATATGTGAAACATGAGACAACAACATGGTGTCATGTGCTGAAAGCCAGAAGGGCGCCAAGACTCTATAAAGAAAACGTCTATGAGCAGGTACGGTTTTCTAGCTCTCAGCACACAACATAACAAGACAATTATATTACTTATACATAACAAGAATTTTAAATAGTTAGACCTCGTGACAGATTAACCTTGTTCTAAATGAGTTATCCATTGAAGTCTGCCATATCTATGATTACTACAAGTGTGTCAACTGCTTCAAACTCATCATTGCTTTCCTATCTTTCTTGCAGAAATTCCTACTGACTCAAGACTTTGTGGATGGGTTTGAGCGGCAGTGCGGCTCCCAGGCCAGCGTGAAGCGTCTCAGGTCCCATCCTACCTACAGTGCTTTCATGACCAAGTGGAGTCTGCCTGTCTACTTCCAATTAAGGTGTGAATCTTATGCTGCTTTATCCTGGTTATATCACCGAATTGGGTGACTTTCCATAACATGATGTTAATTAGTTTCCCTGCAAGTAATTATTCTTATGATGTTAATTGTGAAAATGTCAGCAACAGTTTATTTGTATGATCATGATTCTTGACACAATTGAATTCAATTTGAAGAAGAACAAAAAGGAAGACTTTTATCTTGATTCTTTGTCAGGTTTCAAGAGATAGCAGGGCAGTTTGAGGCAGCACTGATGTCTCCTTTCAGCATTGCACCAGGTATTCCTTCATTTGATTGTATCTTTCTGAAATGAATAAAAACATTTGATGAACATTTACGTATTTGTAAGTGTATCTAGATTCCTCCTTTATTTGCTTCCTCCTTCCCATTTGTGATTCCAGGTGCTATTCATTTTACTTGAGCATGCATGTTGATTTAAATTACAGGAATTAAATCACACCATTGGGAAAATGTGGCAATCAACCTCTGAGCCAGGAGAAGATACCACTGTAGATGGAAAGATAGATAGATAGATATAATGGGGGGGTTATATACACACTGGGTCAAGAGAAACATTGTATATAAAAAGTTTAGCTTCAGGACAAAAGTGCCATGGTGTGGCTTGAATCATCTATCCTTGACCTTAGCTAAGTGTTCAAATCTCTCAACCCAGACAATCCATAACATGTATTTGCCTTCTGTTCATCTTGAAATGGAAACAGATGGGTCTAAGTATCAGCTGTCTGCCAGCCAGGTCTTGTGGGAGTGTCTACAGAGATGTTGGCATGACAACGTCTTCCTGACCCCGCTGTGTCATCGCTTTTGGAAGCTGACCCTTCAGCTCCTCTCTAGATACGCCGTCTGGGTGGATGAGGTTTATAACACCGAGGTAAAGAGAACTTCTTGAAACGATAGATATGGAGTTCACGGTCAAGTGGAAATTTCAATTCAACATGTAATATGTAAATTGCTTCCCTGTTTCCATGAAACAAAAGATAGGTGAAAGCCTTGTTCCATTTGTTATAAAGATGGGTTAGACTAAAATTATGATTTGAACTTAAATTTTGACAGCTTTTGCTATTTGTTGTTCTGACCCTTTTTTGCTCTAGATAAAGTTAGACTTGACCACCTTCATAGATTTGAGCCGTAGTGTACGCATGAATTAGTCGGTGATAAAAAATACCTGATTGCTATTAAGAAAAAAAGATCGATAAGTTTGTAGGTGCAACCAAAAGGACCTATAGCTTTATGACCTATCTGAGGGACTTGGTTCTTGAGGATAAATGCCAAAAGGCACCGGCATATCTACTTGGTTTCGAAACCAGGACATCCTTGTTACTGGATCAATGGTCTACCACTTAGCCATAATGCCTCCTCAATTCCAATAAAGAAATTGAAAGCTACACAAATTTTTATTGCAATTTTCTTGTACATGTAGATCACAGAGGAAGGCAGGAAAGCAGCCGAAGAGAAAAGGCAGCTGCAGGCAGTAGCCAAAATGGAGCTCAAGGCCGATGGGGAGGGAGGAGAACGTTTAACACCATCACCCATCCCATCAGGTCCTCCTCCGGTCACCTTGCCACAACTGGTCAAGATGGTAGCCGATATTGATGCCATCATAGCTGGGGTCAGTATTATACAAAACATCAAAAAAACAACGACAACAACATATCCCTCCCCCCCCCCCCCCTTCCCCACAAACAAAATAAAACCACAAATAATAGATTTGTGGAAAGTTTGCTGCATTTATATTTGTGCTTTGCGATGACATTGCGTAAGCTGCTTCAACTCATTGCTGGCATTTAAATTTATTTGCAGTGGAGAACAGATTCCATTTCCACTTAGAATGAAAACTTATAGCATATACAAAAACAAATTAAGAAGAACCATATTATACATCAGTGAGGTAGACTGCAGCAATTTGTACATGAAGTTTAAGGTATATATGCTATTGATTCTATATACAGAAATTTCTATGTGTACAGTAAATCATAATTTCGTGTCATAGAGTTGTTTCCCAGTAGCAACCCATAGCAGGAGTATTCCTGTCACAGTCCCTCTGTCCCTGTTGCTTTTAGTATGAATCTGAAAATCGTGCTAACAGTAAAACACACCTTGGTGTATTCTAAACCTTAAATTATGAATTTAAATGTCTTTCTTGTACTTTGCAGCTTCCAAAAGTTTTTCAGGAACACGTCAAGCCAAAGCTCTTATTAGTCAACTGTACAGAGTTCACTGCATTGGAAGGTAATTATTAAACTAACATATTTCAAATATTTGGTTGTATATAACATAGCATATTCAAAGTTCTTGCCTGATAAGATTACATTGTTACCTTCTGCATAGCAACAGTTTGTTTCTCATAGATTGATCTAGAAGTAGAGCAGTATGGATTTCATATATGAGCTAATGCTGCTTGCACCACATATTCAAAACCAGACGCCCATTACAGAAGGCGTACTTGCTGCCTGGCTGTCATTGATGATGTCATTGCCAGTTGCATCTTGGAAACTGAGTCTGTGAATACGAAGAAAATGATTTTTTCTCTCTTGAGGTTATTAATTACTCTTTGGTTGTCAAGCAAAGAAATTGCTGATGAAAATGATTCTAGTAATTTCCAAGATTTAGTCTTACAAAAAATATCAATTTAGTGACCACCTGTATAGAAGGACCACCTGTCTGTGAAGACCAAATTTTGGTTTCCCTTGAAAATGGTTACTCATTGAAACATTTACTAAGGGAACCTGTACATGGTGATCACCTGCCTATAAAGACCACTTTCCTTGTCACCCTTGTCTGGTCTTTATAGACAGGTTTCACTGTAATTTATATTTTTCACTTCCGATTGCCTCTGTAGAAGCCATGGAAGACAGTGTCACAGCCATTCAGACTCGCTTGGAAGCCACCAGCGTGCATGTGACCCAGGGGGTGGGGTCCCTCTGTGTGGTACATCTGAAAGGAGCCAATGATATCCCAAGGCTCTACAGGAGGACCAACAGAGAGGTAAGTGAATAATGCAAGCCATGTAAAGAGTCAAACCCTGTATTGATTGAAGGTACATGTACAAATATTTCTTTGTATTGTTGGTAGAGGCCCCGACATATCTGAATATCCCCAAACACATACAAAAGTACAGCATATGCAAATCTGGTAACATACTATGCCTGTTAATGTACTTAATTAAGACTGCTGTAGGTGTCTTTATCGCTGTAGGTGTCTTTATCGCTGTAAAGGGTGATTCTGTGCAATATGTTCTGAATGACATAAGAAATTTATCTATTCTTTTTTTGTAAAGACTTTTTAGTTTTTTGTTTGTTTTGCTTTTATCTATTTAGTTCATCCAAAATCCCTTGATATGTCTATTGACTAATGTTTTTTCCTGGTATCACAAACATTATTAAATGAATGGTCATATCAAGATATTTTTCCTGTTTAGAAGAAATAACTTGGAAAAAATTCATAGCGGACATTAAATGATATCTTATGTAAAGCAATATATTGAAGAGGCATTTTCTGATGTCGTGTTCACAAAACACTATTTCCTTGAGGTAATAGTGAAAGACTAAATACTGTAGTTCCTAGATTACACAAGAAGTTTGTCTATGCCACACTATGGCAATAAAAATGTATGTAGGAAAAGGTTGACAAGGGTGCTTATATTAATCCTGCTGTTAGTAGACCATCCTTAAAGTTTTTAAAATTATTCTATCAACAGGTTCCCAGCAAGCCATCAAGCTATGTGAGCAGCACTCTGAAGCCTCTGCAGACATTCGTTGAAGACCACCGAGCCATCCTATCAGACAGCAGGAGACAGGAATGGACTCTAGCCGTCATTTCAAACATCACAAAAGAGTAAGTACATGGATGCAAATACTTATAATAATCCAGAATAGTAGTTCATTTACATGACTCACAATAAGAAGACTTTGGTTTGAAGTTAGAGTCATGATCCTAATTCATACCATTTCATAGATGTGAGCGTCTACCAGGGGGAAAATTAAGTTTGGATGGCGTTAATTTTACAGAAAGCCTACCCTCTGTAGTTCAATAAATTGTGTAATGAGAGGCTAAACAAATATAGGTTACTCCTTTTCATATTTGTTGTAATATGAGGACATCATACAGTTACGAATATCAGGTGTTTTTGTCTTTTTCTAATGCGTTTGTATAATTTCTTGTTGTTTCACGAAGTACAAAAGTATGCCTGACTTATCCTTCACTGAATAATTCTGATAGGGTAATTTTCAGAAATGTTGTATTTATTTTTAAATCAAAAGGACAGTGGGAGGGATTGATGTTGGTGCACTCCATGTTCCCACAGTTTCATAAATTTACCTCATCATTCAAAAGACATACATTATACTTGAATATCAATAATAATGATATTAATAATTCAACGTTTCTGTATAGCGCATAACTCATATGTATACCGGTAATTGATGTCTCTACCCCCTTTACAGCACAGAATACAGAAGGACTGGAAATGGTGCACTGTGTTTAAATTTGTGAGATTTTACAAAGCGCTAAAGATAAATTGTTTCTTTGGTCCATCTAGGTATCTAGCCATCAGCACAGAACTCCTGACCTCGGTCAAGAAGATGGAGGACAGTCTGAAGCGGCTCAAGGCTCTCAAGAAGACCGGTGCTGCAGCAGGGTCGACACCCTACCAAGGCATGTCGGACGATGATAAGATCAGGTTACAGCTAGCTCTGGATGTCAGGTTCTTTGCTCAACAGGTATTTAAAGCAGTCATTTGAATTGCTATCTAAAGACCCTATTGATGAAAATATGACTATATAGGAATACAAAATATTGTTCCTTTCAGTAGTGCACAAAAGCAAATTTAAACCTTTTTTGCACCCCTCCAAACTATGGGTTGACAGGGGTAAAATTTGCAGCAGTTATGGTGACTACATATAATTTGGACTTGATCTGCTCGCCTAGATAGCTGAGGCGATGAGGTGTGCTTAATTATAGCAAAGTAATTGTGAATACGCCTACTCCACATTAGATGATGTCATCAAGTCAATAGCTCGTTTAGGTTGACAACTGCTGATTTTCAAAGCTTTAGTTTTCGAGTTTTCAGGGAGCTCTTACTCCTTTGACAGACACTGAAATAGCATATAATTGATACAATTCTAATTCATCACCTATAAGCTTTCCATTGATAAAAAATTCATTAATTCATTTTTCACTTCCGCCAGGGTCTTTAAGCATTGTTCACATGTGATGGCTACAAAACCTTGCAGCAGCAAATTAAAATGACAAAAGCATAGTGTGCTTCACCTATCTTGTTATACACAAATAATCCAGTACACATAGGCGCTTGTGTTGTATGTAACAAGGTGCCTTTCATTTAAAATATACAGTATTGATAATTTTAAACAAAATCAGATAAATTATTGCTATTTCACTGATAGAACCCCTGCTTGTATGGATGGCTTTTGAATATCAAACACATTAATTAAAGGCTTGTAACCATTTCAATTTTGCATATTTACAGGCCTGATAATTACCTGATTTAAATCGGTTCCCTAATTTAAACAAAAAATGTTAAAACTGTTTTTACCCTTTCCGAATTTTATACTTATTTTCCCTATTTTCCCCTTTCTTTTCCTATTTTCCCCTTTCTTTTCCAATTTTCCTACTGAAAAGGCGGGAATGTTGTTGGATGCAATTTTTTATCCCAATTTTTGGTTTGTTTGTTACTCAAGGTGGAGGTGGTTGAGGAAAAGAAAAGAAAACTTTTTTTTTTAGTGCTCACTATCACCTCTGTATTTAAAACTGTTTGCAGGAAATTTTAATCACAAATATGTTCAGAAGGCACTTGTTTGAAGGTCATATGGTTGAATTACTTTTCAATTTCCACTTCTCTTTTACAACTTTCCACTTCCATACAATAATCAATTGATAAAACTGAAGTTCTCAATTTACATCATGTAAATTTTGACAGTGATTTACTAACAACAAATAAACTTATGAGAATGTGTTTCTATTTTTGTCTTTGTCTTGTTACAGATTGATGCTTTTGGCTTGGTCAGCATAGAGATCTCAGTTTTCCAGGAACTCAGTACTTTGGTCGAAGCCACAGTAAATCAGTCAGCATCAAGTTGAACTGTTGCGTTCTAATATTTATAAATTAAAATCTTTGTTATGTATTCAAGGCATGGTTTGTTAATCTCTGTCATTTTGTTTGTGAAAATTGGAACGCGAAAATAGATGGAAGGCTTTATGATTTAATTTTAGTTAAAGCACATATTTGCAAAAACAGGAAGTAACATAATCATATTTACTTCATATATGAATGAGACAGATGTTTGTAAGCTATGGAATGAGTAAGGGCTGAAGAGTTAGAGAATGCATTAACCTTGAGAACATTTTTAAACCGAAAAACAGCCCTCTCCACCTTATTTCACATACAGAAACTTTTTATTAGAAAATATGAATTAATGACATGAAAAAAGAAAATTGTCATATATCATGATACTTTTTCTAAAATTTCTTAAAACTGACTTTTCCTGTTGTTTACTTTCACATTCTTTGAATACCGAACAAAAAAGGGGATATTTGATCGTTTTTTTAAAGTAGAATCTTTGTTACTTAACATTTCTCTTCTGAAAGGAATGTTTTTTTAGTTTCCTAAAAGCAAGAGAGAAGCAGAGAGCAAAAAGATGCAGACAGACCAAAAGAATGACAAGTATCAAATAAATCCCTTGAAATATTGTGAATTCAAGTTCTAGTTATGTCCACACTGGGTAGATGACTACTACGTTCAACATAAACATGTTTGACACTAAGCCAAAGGCAACTCTAAATGAAAAACACAAAAACCCTGTTTCGAATTAAGAAAAAAATTGAAATACCTTTTCTATCATCCTTTTTTCAACAATGTCAAATTCAGGTTTCGTTGTTTTTTATTTATTGCAAATATATATATTATATGTAGGTTAAACAGCTATCGATAAAATTGATAGAACTGTCTTTTTCAAAGTGAAGTAGTGCCACTCTCAAATCTCAATCTTGTATTTGTTTTTGTTTTGCTACTGTACTGTCAAAGATACCGTAAGCTTGAGTTCTGGTGATGATAGAAACAAAATTCCCACAGAATCCAACAAACTTTCACCGAATGTTCAAGATTACAAATAAAGGACATGTGCCAAACGATTTTGGTAGAAAATGTAGAGGCTGAGTAATGAGCATAAAAAGAAAAGGAAATCAACGTATTGTAGGCCTGACACCATGTGCTTAACTGATGTCACTTTTTGTAAATGAGAGTTGTAGTTTTATTGAAGATGAGTTCCAGCAAGTTTTTGTAAGGTTATTTTTGTTTTTGTTTTTATTTTACCGGCTCAAACAATCAATCTCCTGCAGGACAAACAATCCAGAATTAGTTATAGCCATGTTCTCTCTACATATGATGGCCATACCAGAGCTCAAGATTAGCTTTAAGCTAAAATATCCTTTTAAAATAAAAAAAATATTTTAAATCTGAACCAAATGTTCTTCCATTTCATACGTGAATGAAGTAAAGAAAACTAATTGCATGTGATCTGTTTTCTGACCCAGCAAATGGAAAATGAAGTGAAAATCTGAATCTGTTTGTTCTCTGTATTATTTTATGTTGATACATGTTACTTGAATCATTGATATCGATATTGAGACATGTAGAGGTATATCAGTTTATTTTCTTTACAGTGTATATTTGCTATATATGTAAAATACCAAACATTTACATGGCCATATCAGAAACATTTTCCAAAGCCATATCAAGGCAATACTTTTATACTTGTAGCTGTATAGTTATTATTGCAATTTTGTTACTTTAAATAATGCTGATTTAGTGTATTTGTATCAGAGATTTCCAGATAGGTAGTGCAATTTTCTTTTCTTTTAGCTTTGAAGAGATATTCAAAGATGTTTTCATTTTTTCCTTTATTAAACAAAGCCATTCTTATGACAGTTCAAACAGCATTCAAACATTGTATTTTAGATCAAGTATCAATAAAAAAAAATATTTAAAGAAAGAAATCATACAATTATCACTGAATTCAACTATGGTTGTAAAGATTTTATTTCCATAATGCTATGACATGAATTCATAGATAATAAGAATGATAATAAATGTATATGTACATGAAATAAATATAATACATCTTGTAAAAATACTATATTATTTGACAATAAATACACTTGTATCAAGTCTATCATAACTTGTTGTACATGTTGATTCGTTTGTGTACAGTAAATGAGCAGTTATCGTCTGTTTGGGGTCACAAGGGCGTTAACTCTGTGTGTAAGTAATGTACAAGAGTTAACACCCTTATGGCTCCAAAGAGACAATATGTATGTACAGTGTATTATTATTTGTATTGGGCCTCTCTGAGCTGTGGAATTGAATACAGTGTATGCATACATTGTTAAATATGCTGGGTCGCTGGCTCTACTTTCAAATATTACCCTTTAAAAAAAAAAATCACATTATTTCCCTCGTCTACAACTGGAACTGGGAGCAATTTGGCTTTGTTTTGAGAAATATATTGTGATTCCCCCACAAGGCTATACATTATATGATTATTTTGGCACAAACAAAGCAATTTAAGACTTAATAAAGCAAATTATAAGATTGTCAAATTCAGAAATGATATACTTACACCTAATGAAAAAGTATGCTTCTATTAAAGTGGATTTTGTTCTGTGAGTTGCAGAGCAACACATTGCTTTTCTATACAAAAGACAAAGTTATACAACAACCCAGATCATCATTAGGACTTACAATTTGTCAACTCTTGGTCCAAATTACTTGAAATACAGTGTTGTATACAAAACTCAAAATAATTTAACAATAATACATATGGAATATGGAAAGGACCAAAAGGGAAGCAAATGCTTGTGAGGAATGGCCCTGAAACAGAAAGAAAAAAACCCCAAACAAAAAACAAGATACAGAGTCAAATTAACCAATAATAGAAACTAAATAACTCCTTGTAGGTCCACCTTTCAGGGAGAATTTACCTTTGTTTTTTTCCTGAGGTCCCACATGCTTTTCAAACACAAAAGCCTGTATTCTCAAATTGTCATTTTGTTCAACACAATTTAACTGGATTACGGTAGTAGAATATGGCCCAAAGCATGTTTGAACTGGTGAGAACAATGGACACAATCTTCTTAAGATGTTCCTTACATCTAGCTCTGATATTACAATGCCAACATTACTTGTGATTTTACTTAACAAGGATTTACTCAAGCATTCATTTTGATCATGAAAGTCAGTGCAGTCAAATCGTGTATAAAATAAGTTTAAATCATCTGTTGACCCCATTTATTGACCCCTTTCAATTTGCTTATAGACAGAATAGGGGAGTTGAGGACGCTGTTCTTGTCCTTCTTCATGGAATATATAGTCATTTAGATATCCCCAAATCATATGTAAGATGTACCTTCGTTGACTTCTCTAGTGCTTTTAATACCATAACTCCTCACCTTTTAATAAATAAACTGATAGAAATGGAGGTTGATGTTAAAATAGTGCTCTGGGTTCATAACTTTCTAACAAATAGACAACAATCAGTAAGACTTGGAAATATTAAATCACCTACTTTGGTAACCAATACAGGAGCTCCACAAGGGTGTGTCCTTTCTCCCCTGTTATTTTCACTGTATACCAGTGATTGCACTAGTACCAGTCAATGTTGTTCATTTATTAAGTATGCTGATGACACTGCCATCACAGGTTTCATTAAGGGAGGAAATAGTGAGAATGAATATTTTTGTCAAGTTAATCAGTTTGTTGAATGGTGCGATCGACACAACCTATATTTGAATGTTAAAAAAACCAAAGAGATTATTATAGACTTTCGACGTGGTGACGTAAATCATACCCCTTTGTATATTCATGAACAGGCAATCGAACACGTACATGAATATAAGTATCTTGGTACCTTGATTGATGATAAGCTACGATTTAATAAGAACATCAACGCTGTACACAGTAGAGCTAATCAACGGATGTTTTTTCTAAGGAAGCTCAAAAAATTTAACGTTGACAGGACGATCTTGCATCTTTTCTATCAGTCTATCATTCAAAGTGTTCTTCTATTCAATCTCATTTGTTTTTATGGAAATCTCACACAAGCAGACAAAACTAAACTCGAACGTCCTAGGAAAATTGCTCAACGTATTATCGGCATTGAATTACCACCCCTATCAGTTTTGTTTGAAGATCGCTTATTGACTAAAATAACTTCTATTATGAAAGACCCATCACATCCACTATTTTCTTGTTTTACTTTTAACCGCTCAGGAATCCGCCTGCGTGTACCAATTACCCGTAGAGCCAGATACAGAAATTCTTTTATTCCAAATTCCATGCACATCTATAATGCAAAAATAACACGAAATTCTCAGCTTTAAGCTGAATAATAGCGATTATGATTATTTGTTAACTTTTTTCTACCCACCCAGTCAATTGTAGGGATTGGGTTGGAAAGTTTTCCGCCTTATCACCTTTGTGGGGTCAAAACATCCGTTGTTTAGCTCTGCTGCTGATTTTTGTTGTATATTTATGTCATGCATTATAATCTGATTGGAAATTATGCCATCTCTCCTTCTCTGTCTCTCCCATTTTCCTTTGGACCCCTACCAACTTTCCCTATATTTCTCTCTTCTATCAGTCCTTCGAGCTTGAGCTCTCTTTTCCTTTATCTTTCTGCTCGTATTTCGATTGTGATGCTGCTCATATTCACATCTATATTCATACCTGAATTTATTCATGATGTGATTCAGAATTGTATATAAAATTCTTGCTATGTATAAGTCATATAACTATCTTGTCATGTTTTGTGCTGAAAGCCGGAGAACCGTACCTGCTCACATACTTTTTCTTATAGAGTCTTGACGCCCCTCTGGCTTTCAGCACACGACACCATGTTTTTGTCTTATGTTTTATGTATTACATGTTATACCAATGGAAAACAAATTTCTGTATTATATTATGGACAATAAAATCTTGAATCTTGAATCTTGAATCAATCATACCTGCCAACATTTGAAAATGAGAATTAAGAATTTTTAGCGCGGTATGTCTTCGAAAATAAGAAATCTGTACACTTAACAGGCGTTCGCACATGCAGCGGCAGTTTTTAATCATGCAGCCCTTCAACGCACGCAATACGTGAACTCTAACATCGCGTCAAAGGATAAAACAAGCTTAATTTGGCTTAAGCAACACCAACACCAAAAAAAAAAAAAAAAAAAAAAAAAAAAAAAAAAAAATCGAAATTTTGAGAAAAAACAAACAGAATATTCCGGATTTTGGGGTCCTAAAAATCCAGAAAATGGAATATTCCGGATTATTTGGAAGGGTTGGCAGGTACGCTGAATTCAATTCGGTGTAGCGATTGTCCAACACAGCTCAGTTACGGCAACATTTGACATGCATCGATCAAACTATACACAGTACATGTACGGTACGCCTCGCCATCGCTGCCCCACTCCACTGGCACCGACTCACCTCCGGTACCGCACTGCAGCGTGCGTTCACTCTGTATACCATAGTCCCGACACACTTCTTCCAAATACTGGATTAGACAATTGAAAAGTTAGTACGGTACGGTAAACTCCATGAATCCATCAAGCAAGCGTATTCCTTGGGATTGGAAGACATTATAAGTAAAACTGACAAACTTTTTGCAAGTTTAGTAACCATTCACGATCACACGTCGAAGCTAACCCGTTCGCTCAAAATTTATCGCTGGTGAAGTGTGCATGTTCTTGTACATCGCTTGTATTGGTGTGTGTGTGTGTGTACGTGTATGGAGAGTACATGCCAGGCCAGACGCTACACACACACACACATAATGCTGATCTCTACGCTGTAGATCAGTGGCACAAATACGCTGCAAAATCGTCATTACAAGCCAAATGAGCTTCCGCGGCCATCAACACACACACAGTATACTATACGAGAGCTCTCACACAAATCGCGGCAAATGGTAATACAAGCCCAATTTGGCTTAAATTTCCAAAATGCGGAATCTCCCGCATTTTAAGGTCCTAAAATTCCAGAAATGCGGAATATCCCGGAAAATGCGGGAGGGTTGGCAGGTATGCACAATTATCAGAAGCAACTTTGAACAAGGTTTTTTTCCGGTAGCCATTCCTTATTAAACCGGTTGATGACTATGAATATTCATACACATATTTGGGATTAATCCCATTAGAAATAAGGGTGAAATTCAAATGAGACTTCACACGTCTTCTTAATCACCTGACAAAGATAAAGACTGGCTGGTCCCATATGACCTGTCAACATTTTTTAAATATATAAAATTAGTGTCCTGAACTTCAAGTTGCAAAAAAGTATTCAACATGTACACCTTATTGTATTTTCTTTCCAAAGTTGGCTCTGAAGGCTTGTAAGCATAAATCAGTGACCTGGGACCTGCACTACCGACATCCTAAACCTTTGCCACATAAACTTTGACAGAGGACTTTTATAATTACCGGTATAGGTAATGTCATTGGTAATACAGTACATGTATGAAACCAGCACAAATACTTCGCACTTCCCTTCGAGACACTAATATCTCTTATTTTCAAAGATTAGCTAACCAAACAAGGTGATTAACTGTGGTGCTGATAAAAGTTGTTAATTAAGTGTTGACATTCCTCTTATCTTATCATAGACAGGTAATGGCAGTGTAAACAAACAGATGTTTCTTATTAATATTTTTACATTTATCGAAAAGGAAGCAAAGTACTGTAATGAATATGGACATATTTATGGATCCCGAGTCATGACATTGCTTTTCATTATAAAATACCATGTAACAATATCACATTCATACCCAATCTGCATATATAATAGAATACACTGTAGTTGACAGCAGTGGAAACTAACAAAAAATCAACAAGGACTGAATAAAACACGATAAAAGGCACCTATTCAATAAATTTTGAAGAATATTACCCAAGAGATTTTCACTTCACTTTGTGAAAATCAGTATAATTTCATTTTAAAATAGATTACAGATTGATTTTTTGGATTTCAAGGAACTCAACAGAACAGGAAAGAGATTTAAATCCAATTTTTAAATGTAGTAAAACCGAATGCCTTTTAAACACCAGTTTTATTGGTAATTTATACAACTCACTTTTATTTCAACAGGGATTCATGCTGTATAGACTAGGTCAAAGGGTCACAGACACTCTAACATTTCTAAGTCATTTTAGGGATGAAAACTGATTTTCATTTGTTTCCCATTTCGTAGGGGAATTATACCTAACTGGTGTCAACCCCATTATTAGTTTAATAAATGAATCAAGTTCTAGGTTCAAACAAGTGGAGAGAGAAAAGGGCACTTTTGCTCTCCTCCACATTATGATTTTTTTTCTTCCCTCTAGTTATTATGTGTTAATCCTATTTGAGTTTGTTAACGTAGAAGCCATTCAACTTTACAAGCCCACCACACGGTGAAGATTGCTACATCAAATCAAGCCCCAAATGGTTTCTTTGATTGTTTAGTTGGTATTGACTCATCACTGTCTCTCTACTTTGGACAGTCATAGCCTACATGAACAACATCCTGGAGTACCGGTATATTATTGCTGAAGCAGTTACAAAAGAGTCGCATGATGCTATCTCATGGCTCCTCCAACCCCGTAAATCATTCCTTTCTCAATCTCCTCCGCTGTCAGCGTCCCATGGATGCGTTCGCAATTGGGATTGAACACAGAGTAAGCGCTCTTTTCTCAAGGAGTCTTCTCACCCGCCCCTCTCATGTTGGCGTAGATGCTATCTCATGGCTCCTCCAATCCCATATATCATTCCTTTCTCAATCTCCTCCGCTGTCAGCGTCCCATGGATGTGTTCACACTTGGGATTAAACACGGAGTAAGCACTCTTTTCTCCGGGCGTCCTCTAACTATTATTGCTGAAGCAGTTTAAAATAGTCACAAGATACTATCTCATAGCTCCTCCTATCCCGTAAATCATTCCTTTCTCAATCTCCTCCGCTGTCAGCGTCCCATGGATGCGTTCGCACTTGGGATTAAACACAGAGTAAGCGCTCTTTTCTCCGGGCGTCTTCTCTCCTGCTCCTCTCATGTTGGCGTAGATGATGTAGAAGAGGGAGAGGATGACATAAACTGCCCCAAATCCGATGCACACGAACAGACCGAAGAGGGCCAGCCAAAGGACAGCTTTCAGGGCTAGTCGGTACGGGTTGATGGTGGAGGTGGAGTAGGGTTTACTTGAGAAGCTCTGAGGAGTGACGTTTGTCCTCGCATCTGTGGAATTCTCATCATCCTACAGAGATGAATGATATAAGAAGGAAGCAATATAATAACTAATGAAAAACGTTTGAGCATCATAATAACATCTTAAGCCCAAGGTTCATTCTCTTTTTCATAATAAAGGTTATCCCCTCCCCTCCCCCCCCCCCCCCATCCCATTAGCTTGAATAAAACATGAAAGATTAATACTAATAGCAAGAGCAAAGTGCAAGAACACAGAAGTATGCTACAATTATGTTTGAGTATCATCAAAACATCTTAAGCCTAATATTCTTTCTCTTTTCCATAAGAGAGGCTACTATTCCCCCCAGGCCCCATAAGCTTGAATAAAACATCAAGATTAAAAGAAAGAGCAAAGTGCAAGAACACAGAAGTTAAACTTAAAGTGAATGTTATAATTATAAGGCATAGCCAGTAGCCAACAGCAAGTGAGGAAAATGAAGGTCAATATAGATCACATAGAAATATATGGAATAAAGATATATTTGGGTGAAGAGAGAGAGAGAGAGAAGGTAGAGATGTAAATGAGAAAGATGGAAGTGCATTTTAGAATAAGAAGAGCTTTAATATTGAGAGAGGGTAACATTATTTAAACCTCAAAGTAAATCATGAATCACAACCACAAGCAATGAGAAGCCTATAATTTATAAATAGGTCTAGAATCTAGTAATAGTATTTTTATAACTTTAATTCAATGAAATAAATTACTGAAAAGTGAAAACCGTACCTTTTGCATTGTAGCATCGGCATTATCTCTTTCCTCTTCACTCTTCATGTTTTCATCCTCCACCCGTTTAGTGGTATCCTTTTCAGTGGCATCCTTTTGGCGATTGCGAAAGAACGGTCCTCCTCCAATTCCAAACAATCCTCCAGAAACCTGAGAATTGGAACTCCTTTCCTTTGCCTTTTTGGCGCGATAAGCGGCCAATTGTTCCTCCATGTCGTCATGTATCTTTACTTTGATTGTTTTCGGACATGGGTCTTATTTGAAAGGTCAACAACCAATTTGACAACAACCACTGATTACATTAATGCAACGTTGTACTTATAAGTCTGCGACTGAACTGAACTTCGTCCTTCCGTAAACATAGGCCTACGTGAGATATGATGTGGTTGAGTTCAATATGGTACTGTCGTAAAGTTAAGGATCATCAGCATATTTTTCAAATATTATGTCTTTATTGTATTTTTTAACATTATTTTTAAAGAAAAAATATATTTGTAACCTTTTTCAAATTTTAAAGTATTATTATATACACAAAAATATATGATTCATATATAAAACTTTAAGATAAACTAATGTAATAAGAAAATGACTAACATGTCAGCGCCCATGGGTTGACCAGCCTGACTCTGCTACAGCACTCGCATTGACTAGTTATGTCCGGATTTATTGCTATTCATCTGGGTAAAAATGATATGTCGTATATTAATCATATTTTATTATGCGTAGTAATCATCCGTTTTATTTTTAACACAAGTTCCTAGTTGGTAGAGTGAAATAATGGACCCGACCCGGCCTGTGACAAAGCATTGTCCGAGGCCGCGCGCGCCGGTACCAGTCAGACCACCGTGCTGTGCGGGTGGTTCGGGGTCTGATTGACGTACGGATCGGTGGGACCCGGTACTGGTATGGTTATAGTGACATGTGATGAACATGCAGAAAGAGCCATAGAGGGAATCATATAGGCCTAATGACTTAATGAGTGAATTAGTGAATACATTGTTTTGTAAATGAACTTGATATATAATTGGACCCTTCGTTAAAGTTCGTTTGGACGAATGAATGGATGAATGAATTAAACTTGAAAGAACTGTCAATAGGGTCAATGCGAATGAAACTAAAAGAACATGAACAATGTATGAATAGAATTATATGTATGAGTGGATGTACATTTTGCATGAATAAGTGAATGAACAATGTGAGTGAAAAAAAATCAGGGAATGAATGATTGAATAAACTCAATAAAGAAATGAATGAATCGACAATTCATAACTAAATAATGCATTGGAATGCATCTGATACATGTAAATGAAACAAACCAATGAAATATTACCAAATAAATGTTAAGATAATATAAGGCAAGGGAGGGCGAGGGTGTACGGTGGGGGAGTCGGGCAAACTCGGACCCGGGGGCAACTCGGCCCCGCTGCATAAACGGTCAGATTTGAAATTAGGGTTAGGGTACAATGACAATAAAAAAACGTTTTTGCAGTGAGTACGAGTTGGCCCTTATCCATGGTGAGGGGGGGGGGGTGCTCGTGAGAGTGTGTGGTGTGGGCCACGGGGGGGGGGGGGGGGGGGGGGTGCTAGTGAGGCTTGTAGCCCCATTAGTAACAATTTTTGGGTAACTGTTGCCTCAGAAAGTTAGAATAATCTCCATTTAAATCTGCAATCCTCATCTAATATGTCTTTATTGATGAATTGGATTGTAATTTGTAGTGGATACATAGTGCACATTTTTTTCACCACCAATAAATGTAATTCTTTTTCTTCTTCTTTTTTTTTCTCCTCCTCCTCCTCCTCCTCCTCTTCCTCCTCTTCTTCTCTAGCTATAATTTGATGATGCAAATAATAATTTTAATTTTATTGTTTCAGGTGCAGGATACCATTCTCCTGAGAGAAAAGCTGAATACAATGAGGCTGTCAATAAAGCATGCCAACAGGTAATTTCCATATTGAGAAATTTCTCATACAAAAACAATATTTATTGAGGAAGCAATTTGAACTCAAATGAAGATGAAATTTCTTCATCACAATTTGTGAGTTTTGCGTGTCAACAATATATTTTCAACAGATCTACAAGTTATGATTTTTGAACAGACATGTTTGTTTACAGGAATCAATATTGGTAGGATAGATATAAAGTGAATTTCAGAACAGTTATGAAAAGAATTAATTGGCAAAGATATCAATTTAACTGACACATTGACATATATCATGATAATACCAAAATGTATCAGAATTATCTGTCATATGCAGTGAAAATGTTGGCTCCATATTGCTAGAAATCGGATACATTATTAATAATTTTATGTATTTTATCCTTGGATCATACAGGCAATATCTGTCCTGAAGAATGGTGCAAACGCTGTGGAAGCAGTTGCTATAGCAGTATCAACACTTGAGGTTTGTAAAAAAAAAAAATCAATTTTACTGTAGAACTCTTCGAGTCTTGTTTTCTACTTTGTAAATATTGTATTGTGACATGGTAGCCTAAAAAGATTCCACTCACTCTTGATCGCTACGTTCGATAACAATCTTGTGTATTTTGCATCCTTTCTATACAGGATAGTCCATGTACAAATGCTGGCCTTGGATCAAACCTGACCCTAGAGGGCGGTGTTGAGTGTGATGCAGGTATCATGGATGGAGACTCTCTGCATTTTGGTGCTGTTGGGGCTTTAGGAGGTATTTTGTCTTTTTTACCTTTTGATTAGTGATTTACTAATTTTATTTGATCGTAGATGCATTCATTCTTTTATGATGTTGCAGTTTTTCATTTATTTATTTCAACAACTTTCTCCTTTCAGCCTTCATCTACACAAAGACCCATGATATTGTGTACAACTGTTAAAACTTAACATTATCCTCTCTGTGTACTCACTTTTTTGATCCTCGGGTTTGCTGTGTATCCTGTGTATATCATTGTTACGTCATTTATTGATTGATTTATTTATTTATTTGAACATATTTCATCAGGATAACAAGATCAGAAAGGACTGGTTTACATCCTGGTCCTGAATATTAAAAGCTTACACTAAAACATCAAAACAGAATAATCATACATATATAATGAGAAATATTGAGTTGGAGTAATCTAGATCCAGAATTATACATTAGTTTTTAGCTCCATATTTTATTCATTCATTCATCTATTCAATTTCTATCTACCGTAAATTCATTAATTTAATTGTATTTGAATGATTTATTTGGCAAAATATAAAAATAACATGTATTATCTACGAGTAGTAAGACATTTATGATTGAATGCTTCCTTATAAATTTTTGCTTGAAGGAATACGGAACCCAGTCAAAGTCGCCAAAGCTCTGTTGTGTGAACAGCGCAAAGGACTTCTGTCACATGGTCGTATTCCTCCATGGTAAGTAGTACAAGTGGGATTCCTATCCCTCTCTTGGTACGTATTACTTAATTTAATAGAAAAAAATTGAAGAAAAAAGATGTATTATAGTGGGTAGGATAGGAATCAAAGTCATAGACCACTGATTACTTTATATCTACAATGGACTTTTGAATAGTCAGGTTAAGCCTCGGTCACAAATGCCATTACGAACTGCTATGAATTGCGTACGTACAATTTTCAGACAATGGAAATTCGGGAAGACAATGGAAAAACAGGGAAATTCTTACGAAATTATCGTTTGTACGAAGCTTTGTGACCATAGCATAAAATATAGTATCCTTGTCATCTCATTCCTCAATATCATATTTTTGATAGATGTGGTGTGTCAAAATTTATGAGTCAGTAGATTTTGTCAAATTTCTGACTCATGAAGATTGGGTGCATACAATAAGAGAATGAAGAGACACATTTGAAAAATGCCACAGACCTTATTATAAAAGTAATAGGAACATAAACAGATTTGGGGAGTGTCAGTGTATGGAATACATGTATCTGATTTATGATTTGGCAAGGTAAGATGGATGCATATATACAGCAGCAGCTTAAATAGACTCGTGTAAAATGCTATCAACCCTGTAAAGGACAAAAACAAATTGAAAAGGGGGTAATGTCAGTATATTGACTACTCTGTATGTGAATCTATTCCTGGCAAAAGAGGGAATCGATAGAAAACGGAAAATGAAGACTCATATTGTCAAAATACCATGGACCATAATGCAAAGGATGAACGTTTATCATGGACATTTATTACCACCTTGAACCAACTGTATACCAATCTTCAACTATTTTTCTACAGTGTACTGGTTGGTAATGGCGCTCTGCAGTGGGCCTGTGATCATGGGTTCAAGGAGGTCAATACCAGTTCCCTCATCACCCCAAGGGCACTGTCTGCCTATCGTAAACACAAGAGGGCCCTAACAGGGTTTAGCACCCTGCCGCCAGACCAGCAGGAGTCATTAGCGAAGAGGATGAAGGGAGATGGGTCTCCAGTGGTAGGCATTTTTGATTTTATTCTATCTCATTGCAACACCCATCATTTCTGACACAATTGTGGTATCAATTAAAGTGTCATTAATTATTCATGTCATTGAGTTACAAAAGGTGTTCTGGAATTTTCAGCTGAGATTCACAATGGTATTGTGTTATTATGAACTAATTACTGTCACAGACAGATTTCCTTGTCTTTATTTGCCAAAAAGTGATTTAAATCTAATCAAATATTCAATGCATTAGTTTGAAAACATTGTTAAAACAAATGTCTTAGAATTTACTCCCGATAGATTTTTAATTCTTCAACTTTACACTGTGCAGACAGCACGTCCGATTCAACTTTTAAATTTTGAGTTATCAATGATCAGAAGTGTTGAATCTTTATCTTTTTACACCTTGTAGTATAGATGATGTGCTTAGAGACAGGTACATATTCAATAAACTTTGCAATTGAAATTGGATTTCGTTCATAAACTCATCTTCATGTTCTTCTCATTAACCAGATTGATGGGGACACCATGCAAGACACAGTGGGGGCAGTCTGTGTGGACAGCAATGGTCAGATCGCTAGTGCTGTGTCCAGTGGTGGGATAGCCCTTAAACATCCAGGGAGAGTAGGACATGTAAGCTAACTTCATGATTTCTGTTTATATTTGTTTTCTGCTGTAAACTTGATGGGCTTTAGAGCTAGTCAGGGCGAGTTTATAAAAAGTATAGAGATCTAGAGAGGCCTGAGTAATGCTTTGGAAATTGATGCAGTTCTGATTCAAACTACCTGTCCAAATATATGTATCAGTTGACAATAAATATGCCCCTTTTGTTACAACAATACATGTTTCATAATCATATTATTAATAGTGAATTCTTGCATAGCACACATGAAATTCTTGGCACTCATGCATTATTTACCCACCCATCCAGTGTACGACGAAATATAACCTGGTACTGCTAAACAAAGACACACACAGCAGAAAAAACATGATGGCACGATTTGCTGCCCTCTATGCTCTAATTCAGCGTAAAGCAACAAGTGACCATACATGGACTTCCCGTAGGTCCGTCGCACCGTGATATCACGTGAACCCTCTTTCAGTGAGAGAGGGCAGCACAAAGCCAGCAGTTATTGTGCCAAACTTTGGTGCCCTATTTCTATAGTTTTGTGTAGTCTTTGTATTCACCTTTTGTTTAATACCGGTAGTTAAAAATGTCTTGCCAGTGGCTTGAACCTACAACCATTGCTTTGAGCTCCTAGTTAAGTTTAAACCACTCAACCAAGACAAACCAAATTAATTGAAATGAAATATGTCTATTGCCAAGAACAGTGTTATGACAAGTAAATGGCTTCTGTAATACACTAAGTGTAATCCTAACAACCATCTCTTGCCCTCCCTCAATAGACCATTTCATAGTTTATTTAGCACATGGGCCAAATGACCCCAAATATCCACAGATCTTTTACTCATGGAGAAGTCCCACCTTGTGTATTTTAGAATAATCAATGCCAAAGTCATGTATGTGCTTCATGAAAAGCTTTTGTTTGCCCTCTTGTATCATAGAATGTACCGTAGATGCACACATGAATAATAATTACATAACATGAGCATGTATTCATCTTGGTGGGTTTTACAATTTTATCACAAATGACCTTTATCTGCCCATGCGCAGATAGTATTTACGAAATCTCTCTATTTACCTCTCGCCCTCCCCCTCTCTCTCCATCTTACTCTCTCTCTGTCCTTACCTCCCTCTCTCCCTTAGTGTATGAGCACGGGCGAAATTACCAACACATAGCATCTGTGGAATTAATCATGTCAACAATAAACAACTAAATACCTGATAAAAGCAAGCAGTCCTCATGGTCCAGTCATTCAAGCCAAAATAAGAATTCAAATATCACCCAGCCATTGCTAGATCAGATGATCCAAAATCCACCAAAGTTCAGCAAAATACCAACGTCCAGCAAATAGATTAATTCCGCATTGATGATCCAAAATAGTGTTAAATCATATCCAAGTTATAAATCCAGTGAGATCACTTTCTCAGTAAAACAGAAACAGATCACCATCATAGTTCATTGTACATCACATGGATCAAAAGAAATGACAGCGAGTGAAAAACATGTGTGTCCTCATGGTGGCTTCCAACTAGGAATTCAATGCGCAAATGATTATTACATAATAATAGCCCTGACCTTCAAATTATTTTCCTGGCTTTCAAAACAAACCGGATTATTGATTACAAAATGCACATGAACCACTGCCATGCACACCTAGACATTTCTGGTAGCTGCTTGCAAATATGCAAATCACAGCTGCAAAATTTCAGCATGTATCCAATGTATTATGTTAACAGCTTGAATGGAACCAGGTTGCTGAAATAGTTACATAATTTAGTGGAATTATACATGACAGAAGTTGAACTTTAGGGGTTACACCGTTTGAATCACATCATCATGATGTCTATTTTTTAACTTCTAAATACAGTTAACCTTGTCTTAGTGGCCACCTCTCTATAAAGAACACCCATCAATGATTATATATGCTTATGCTATTTTCAAATATTATTTGTTTTGTATGAAATTGAATGTCTTTTTAATTCAATGCATTGTACACTTTTATGCTTTTTCAAATGTTATTTGTTTTATATGAATTGCATGTTTTTTTATTCAACGCACTGTAAGCTTGATTTTTTTTCATAGATGGAACTGAATTGTATAAAAGTGAACTGAATAATAGTCACCTTTGTTGTTTTCCTTGAGAGAAAAATTTGTGTTCCAGAACCTGTCTATAAAGGCCACGATTAAAAAGTGGCCACTTGATTTTGATTTCCCTTGTTTAGACTTACATGTACATGTATTACCATTGAATAAGGATAAAGAACAAAATCATTGTTTCCCCTGCCTAGGCCATGTTTTTTGGATGTGGATGCTGGGCCCAGTCCCACACCAAGACATCCATGTCGGTGAGTGTTGGATGCAGTACCTCAGGGAGTGGAGAGCAGCTTATGAGATGTAATCTAGCCCAGACCTGCTGTGAGGGACTACTTCAAAGTGATGATCCAACCTCATCATTGGGTAACACCTTTCAAAGGCAATATCTAAGTGAGTTATTCTGAAATCTTGACCTTACAGCGGGACTGCACTACTTGTAGCTACTTGCACCCTCTATACAGCCAAGAATGCCGAAGCATTAATTGAAATCTATTTGATGAGATAACCAACTGCCAGTGATCACGCAGGGAGGTCTAATCCCTCCTGGCCAAACTAATGCAGAAAGACTTTAAACTTGAAGAAAAGGACATCTTTTGATATATTGAACAGAATTGAGACACAGTTTTGATGCGGGGAATTATCAACATCATAATCATGATATAAACTGAGGAAAATTTTTAGATGTTGATTAAAGGGAAAGTCCACCCCCAAAATAAGTTTATTTTAATAGAAGTAGAAAAATGAGAGAAACAAGTCAGTGAAAGTTTGAGCAAATTCCGATTAAAAATAAGGAAGTTAGGATTTTTGAAGTTGTGATCAATCAAACACAAATTGGCAACTCTATGACGTATCATGCGAGCTCAACTTCCATTTGCTCAGTACTAAAAAAATCTAAAATTTTCATTTTCCCTCAAGAAAAATTTCAACCATACATGCACCCTAAATATAATAATTGCAAATATGTTTCTATACTCCCCCTGCAAGGAACAAATATATATTCCGTCATCAATAACGAAGAAAACATGATTTTATGGAATATTATGCACAAAGCAAATGAAGGAGAGCTCGTATAATAAGTCACAGAGTTGCCAATTTGTATTTGATTGATCACAACTTCAATAATTCATAACTTTCTTATTTTCATTCAGAATTTGCTCAAACTTTCACTCACCTGATTTTCTTATTATTCTGCCTCTATCGAAACAGACTTATTTTGGGGGTGGACTTTCCCTTTAAATGTAAATGAGAAGATCAGGAGATGTCAAAGGTGACGTGGAAATGGGATGTACAGACGATGATAACTTGTATAAGATCTTCACCCCATCTCTAACATTAAACTAGCAGGATCTGGAACTTTTTCTTTTTACCATCACTGATACCATTCGATCCATATTGACACTTTCTGGAATAAACAAGCTTCCAATCCAAAAGATATTTGATATAGCGCCTTTTTCCTTGCAGTTACAAAGCGCTGCACACATGCTCGACAATGTTTGGGCCACTTAAAAACAAAAGTTAGACACTTCTCAGAGATCAGCAAAGTATATGTAGGCTGGTAATAAAGTAATTTCTAGCAGAAAAGATGTGACTTGAGTAGCTTGTTCTGCGAAATCAGTAGACAATATCTTTTCATTAGACATGGACAGAGAGACAGAGACAAACAGACAGAGACTTACAGACTTTAACTGTAAACATATAGAAACATTAAAAATCCTGCGATCATTGTTTCAGCGCAAACATCTTATACTGACCTCTTTTGCATTCACAGAATCACCATTTCTAACTGACGATGCGGCAAGGCTTGGTGGGGCTATTGCAGTGAGGTACAACCATAAAGACAGAGACGCAGAGATACTGTGGACACACTCCACTGATAGTCTATGTGTAGGCTACATGGACACCACGCAAACTAAAGCAAAGGTACAGTCTTTCAAGTCTAGTTGCTGTATCTCTAAGATATCATGATATCTTTGACATGATTATAGAAAGTAATATAGGCACATGTTAAAGGTATAGTTGAGTATTGGTAATTTCCAAAGTGCCCCTCCAAAACAGATTTGGTTTATTTCAGTACCATATGAAAGATCATCGAAAAAAACATGGGAGATGATAATAATTCCAAATCAAATGCTCTAATTGTTGTGCAATTTGCTTTCAAAACATTATATAAAAGTGTTTGACGTCCGGACATCACTTTTGACTTTCGACGGTTTATTTTTTGAATTTACGTGTTTAGCTCCCTCTATGTCATTTAACAAAACAACCAGCGTATTTACAACGAGTGTTTGAGTTCGTTGGTACGTACAGTACAGGTAGCTAGCAGGCGGGTATCCGACCGCGCGCTAGTAATACAGTACAGCTGATCAATTCCAATACGCTGCTTTCACGTAAAGTATAACACGCACAGCTCAGATCAGATTATCACCGGCGCCGATCGAACGCTAGACAGCTACAGACAAGCTTTGATTGAAATACGATAACGAGATCGAGATTGGAAAAGGAGCTCGAGGTCACGGACGATGGCCGACTCGGACTCAGCTAGTGCTAAGGCTACGCTAAATCGGAATAAGACTAAGTAAGACGGTAAGAGGAAGGAGAGAAACAAGCAATGGCAGCTCGACCATCCGGCCCAGAGGAGGCGCGGGAGTGGCTGTGAACAAGGCCAGGGTACGGCGGAGAAACTTCGCGAGCTGCAGGCGGCCTTCTCGTTGCCGAGTCTAGAGGATGCCATAGACCCTATGGCTATGCCAGCTCACTGAGAGGTAAGTTGAAATGATATACGCCCCACTGCATTGGGTAGGCCTACCGTTTTAATTTGATCTAGTCTAGAGACTAGATGCATGGAATCGGCAAATTTAAGAAATTACGTTTTGTTATCTCTTGCCTTGGATTTTTAATTCAGATTTCATGAATCATATGATATTGATAGTCTAGCCTAGGTCTACAGTAGACCGAAAGCTTCAGTCTCTATATCGTCGGTTGTTCCACTGAGACTACGTCTGGCTCCACTAGACCTCCGGATGAATTTGGTTCAAATGAAAATATTGGAAGCATATGCGATCCTACAATATTCAGTGAACGTTGTCGCGTTGAAATCGAGTCTAAAGTGATGAAATTGTAAATAATCTCTTTAATACTATAACTCTCTCTCAAGGTCAATATATTAATTCACCTATACAACAAGCTACAATTGACCGATTGGCTATTACCTTTTTGAAATTATATATCACAACTACATATTCCGGGATTTTTATGGTAGCAGCTACCGTTGTACGACCGTAGGCGCTATTTTAAATTTATCAAAATTTACCGGGAGCACCGGTAAATTTTTATATTCAATTTTTTTCGAAAGCAGAAGTGTTTTAGGAGCTAAATTTTCTAGTGCTTATAATACTTCCACAGGGGCATCCAAATATATCAAAATTGTAAAGAATCGCTATCCACCCAATTTTCAAAATTTCCCAAAACTTTGTAATAGACCCTACCTTTAATGTCCCTCGTTACAACTGCAGTTTTCTTCGTAATGATGACGTGCAGGGCTAGTCAACCGGGTAAACATCCTGCTCTTTTTAAAAGTCGACAAGGTTGTACTATAGCTTGCTTGAGATGTGACTGTCTCATCTATATTTATCTCTACCAAAGAGTGTCTCAACTTCACATACATGACAGAGAACCAATGCATCAGTTATTAGTCATGCAAATTCCAAATCTGGCTAGCTGTGATAATTATTAGAGAATGCCATCTTCAAAATAATTTCTTTTGGTGATTTAAAATCTGAATGTTTTTTACTTTGTGAATGACTTTCATTTCTTCACTTTTTACAGATATGAAGAACAGACAACACAATCCATCCCCAGCGAAGAAATTCCAAGCAGCAGTAGGGGAATTAGCAGGTGAATACGGTAGTACAAGTCACCTTTGACCGCAAATTCATGGAGAACTTGGCCTACTCTGCTGATTTGCTCGCTTCAGGTAGGATTCTGTATACATGTACGAAAGGCTCTGTAAATTGAGAGGAATTTAATGAGAATGCGTTCATTACGTACATGTTTGCAAGATTGAGCTCTTTTTCGGTTATGACCTATAAAATTGGGACATATCAGCAGGTCAAGATAATGCATCTTATTTGCTCATGTGTATGACATGGGATTTTCAATATTGATTTTGTGGTATGAAAATAATGAAATGCCCTATCATTTATATCAGTTTTTATTTTGTTTTCATAATTCCTTAGGCACACCAGCATGCTCGAGTGTTTCCACAACCACATACTGATGTATGCTTCCAAGCGGTATTCCTTTGAGTAAGTATTTTTAGTATCATTTTGTATGTTTGAAGTAAGATTGTCTGTGGAAAAGTTGAAACATATCATTACAGTACGGTTACAGTTACAATATCATATTTTGAAGCAAATAGCAAAGTTAATGAGAAATTATGAATGACATCTATATAAATGCTGAAATCACTTTTGGATGCATGCAGAGTCTTGAAACAGCAGACTTTGTATCGTACTTGTGTCGGTACCTGATGTTAAGTCAAGTTGGAGTGGTTGTAGCAGGGAAATGTAACTACCTTTAATTAAGAGTCAATAATTTACAACACAAATCCAGAACTGAAGTGAATGGCTCGTATTCACAAAGGAGGTTTGTACAAACCATGGTTTGGCCAAGGTTTACATCTATGGAATGCCATTTGTAAACTGATGGAGAAGGAATGTAAACTCCATACTTGTTAACAATGTTAATTTACAATTTACGGTATGCGAACAGCATTCCATAGATGTAAACCATCGTCAAACCATGGTTTGTACAAACCTCCTACAAACCTCCTTTGTGACTACGGGCCAATGAGTCTGAGATTTGTCTAAAGCATTTACTATTCATTCATCATGGTAGTGGTAATACCAATTGTTTGTCTTATCCATCCAGCTACCCAGCAAACCGGGCAAGGAATTTGCTTGCGGTCATCGACTACATGGCACACAAGGACAGGCCCGACCAGATTGATGAACAAGGCAATACAAAGTGAGTGGAAATTAGAAAGAAAAAAAGGTTTTCTTTTCTTTCTTGTTTTTCCTATTTTTATTTGTACATTTTTTTTTAGATGGACAAGGCAATCCAAAGTGGGTGGAGTAAAAAAAAAAACATGATTTTTTGTTTTCCCTGTGTAGTTGGACAGGGCAATCCGAATTGGCAGTTCTTTCCCATGAAATTTATCAATTTTGGGGAAATTATTAAATATCTAATTGTCCTTCCTGGGAACGCCCCTTTTAAATCGCCAAAATATGACGTCATCTAAAGAAGTTGTCCCTGTACACGACGCACATCTAAATTATGTAGATGACGGACTGTAAGCTGATGGTTTGTCAATCATGCTGCTGATTTTGGACCCTAAATGCGGACTTGGATTCAGTGTAATAATATACTTGGTGTGTAATGCAAGGTTCTGGAGTCATCAAAATCATCATAAATTTGGCAGAGTTTTGGTAAAGTAACAATCACTTACACAGAAAGATGTATATGGGACAACACACATGGTGTCGGCCTGTCGGGGCTAGTACTACCCTGATTTCCTTATCTTTCTATGCTCATTACTCAGCCAGTATACATTTTCTTCCAAAATTGTTTGGCACATGACATTTATTTGTAATCTTGAACATTCAGTGTAAGTTTCGTTAGATTCTGTGAGAATTCATTTTCTTTTTTTACCAGAACTCAAGTTTATCTTTAAGAGATATGAATCATTTCCAATTGACAAGAATGATTGTGCAATATAATGCAACTTGTTACATTTTGCATGTTCTTTTATTTTATGATACAGATATGTTGCAGTATGGTCAAAGCGTGCCAACAACTACGTGGCCCGGAAGGAGAAGGTCCCCAAGACCTACCCCTACATGTATGTACAAGGACTCATCGGTGCGATACTGGAACGCAGAGAACAGGACCAAGGACCACTGTTCTCGAAGGCTGTTCTGCTCCCTGATGACCCTAGACACACAAGGCCCAGGCTTGCACCATTTCCTCCACCACAACTTGATGTGATCCTAGCCAGGAGACTAGGCCGATTAGAGAAATCCATGTAATCCTCTGTAGTGAACAATTGGGATTGTCTGACTTGAGAACTGCTTTTTTTCGAGCAGAGACTAAGGGATCCAAATGGCGTCCTTCCGTCCATCCTCCGTGACTGTACACAAATTTGAATGAAGTCTAATGTGAAATCTTACCTGCAAAAATCAATTAGGGTTGCTAACTTTCCAACCCTGCATCTGTTTGTAACCATACTTGATTGGTACATGTAGATGCCCTTTATTGGCCTCCATGATATTCTGGAGTTGAAGGTCACATAAGTAGGTCAAAGGTCAAATGAGGTTCATTGTTGCATGATTGCATGATTGCATGCAAGACTCTTAATCGCCTCGATTTAATTTGTCCATGTGGCATGTTTTTAGGCTATCTTGAGGATTGGTTGGAACTTAACATTTTGGACTCATTTGGTTGCTAATGATTTTGTGGTCCGGAGGTGAAAGATTGCATGGCTTAGCATTACGAGCATGTATTCTTGATATGTCAGAGACCCTTTGACAAAATACCACCAAACTTGATACTAGAGTGTCCCTGGGGATCATGGGGATGTGGTTATCTATCAGTATAAAAAAAAAGTCACATAACGCATGATATACATGTACCAGAAATAAATTGTTATTGTTGCTAGATTAGCCACCATGCTTGGCACTTGTATATTGTATTACAATAAGAGGTTGGCAAGTTTACAAATGGAAGAAATGTAGGAATATAAAAGACAAATTGTGACATCAGTGTATAAAAGCTCTATGTGATTTATACAATTCATAATTTGTGATAAAATCAGTGCTTGCTCATGTGGAAATGGTGGATATTTCAATTTGTATCTATTTGGCAACCTATATTCCTTGAAGAAGTTACAGTAGTAATTATAAAATTTACAGCCAAGAGGTCAAACCATGAGTCAACAATGTGTTTGGTTTTAGTGACTGTGCATGTAACTGAGGTGACAGTCGATCATGAAAAAGACTATACTTCGGAACCTGTTGAAAATCAACATGAACAGAAGAAAGATTTGTAGAATATCTTATTGTAAATAGTCTTCATTTTTTGTTTAATGCAATCAATGTGACTAAAATAATGCAAGCGAAAAAGAGAAATGATCACAAGACAGCAAAACAGTTGGTTTCATGCATCATTTGAATCAATGAACGTGAATCAGCTCAACGCCAAAGTATTGCGGTTCAAGGTTATACCATCAAGAGATATGCTGCCTGTAACTACTTTGTAGTTTGAAAGGGTGTATAAAGGAATAAGGATACAGTTGGGCAGGCGAGTCTTTCTGTTGGTCTATTGTAAAAAACTGGGTCAAATTTTTTCCAATTTTTACGCAAATTGTAATAAAACTTGGTATACCGATTGACCCGAGGGTGTGCAAGACACATTTGTTGTGTCTGTCTGTTAAGGTACCTCCATGGTAACCAAGCTTTGCACAAAGAATACAATTTTGTTTTAATAATCTTGTGGAGCATATTCTTTCCAAGTTTTAGCAATTTTATAGTTTTGGTATCTTTGATGAGGCATTATAATAACAGTATAAAACTCAATGCATGTGCAGTGTGTAAAATAAGTATGTGAGCAAACTATTGGAAGTAGTTTGATCGATTCATATGAAACTCAGTACACACAACGCAGAATTGTCTTTTGTGTGCGTATAGGACATGACCAGTTTTGAAATGTCTGTGCTATTTTTTTGAAAAACCTTATGTTGGATGTTAATCACTTGAGGTGATATTCATAGTCGAGCATTAGGGAAGATGAAAGACATATATACCTAACTATACTTAATTTTGTGCTGAAACTGATGTGATTCAGGATTTGAGATCGATATGGAGTATGTATACATGTATACTCGTACGAATCACTCAGACAATTTTTAAAGCATTTATATATAAAGTAAGATGTGAAACTTAAAAGATAAAACCAGTTATGGTCATGCGACTGCATTGTGAAAGGATTGTTGTGGAATCGATCAGAAAAGGTTGATCATCTAGCATATAAGTCTTGGTGTGTACTGCAAGGTTCTAGAATCATCGAAATGATAAAAAGATTGGCCCAGTCTTGGTAAAGTTACAAGCACTGTACACAGAAAGATGTATATGGGACTACGCACAAGTGCGCGACACATGCGTTATATCTATCAAGTCCAAATAGATATAATAATTTACCAAATATATCAATTAGTAGGCAGTTTCTCGGCAAAATTTGTATGATCACGTACTAGTCAAAACATTGTGTGCGGGCAAGCACTGAATCAAATGACCGGGGTAATAGTATATTTGTCAAGCGCGTAGAAACATTACTGTTATAGATACTTTTCTTTGGTAAACTTATCTACACATTGCCTATAGAGAATGTCAAGTTTTTATGAAAGACACAAGATAAGATGTATATAAATAAGCAGTAACTAATAAGTAACAAGACATGGTGGTATACAAATAAAGTATATTGCTCCTTCTTAATGACGACGGTTAAAGTTGTCATAGCGATAGATGCTAAATAAAAATGTGCCTTTTTTAATACACATGATCTGTTTGTATGCAATGGTTGGAATCAACATCACGTTTAAATATTGCCTTCAGTACAGCAAGTATAATTTGTATTCATCTGAATAATGTTGTGTAAATTTAACTGTTAGTTATGGCCGAATAAAGCTTTCAATGTACACCATAAAAATATGTTATGTATCTTCATTTTAGCATTACTATAATTATATTAAAATCTTATGTCTTTACACATTTACAAGTTATCACGTACTGACGTAGGTCATGCAATACACAGGCACTGTAGAACACAACTTATTTACAAGAAGTTACAATCACTTTTTTTTTTAAACTTTACAATTGCATGCAGTACCAAAATAAAAATACTAAAAAACACTGCATTATGGACAAGTATGAATCAAGTAAGATGTTAAATTAATTCACTACTGTTATTCATTATAGTATACTGATACAACAATTTTTAATATTTTTTTAAATTTATTTCTTTTTATTTCTCCACTTTCCCTTTAGCCATGTACCTTCATGTTGTTATATATGTTAAAGGTGTCGCTCTGGACCTATAACATATGATAAGACAAAAAATCCACCAGTTATTTCTGATTTCTATCAAATTTTTAGATTTTGTGTTGTTGTTGTTGTTGTTTGGTATTATCGGCGTTTCATTCTTTTTTAGAATATTTACGCCTTTCACTTTATTTCTTTTTTTTTCTTCTATTTTTGGTACTATTTGTCAATTCATATTCATCTCTTTTTTTTGGATAATATAATCTCAGATCTACTGGTCCATGAAAACCCCTCACCGCAATTGGCACCTTCCTGCCAGACCGGCGCGGTACATTGCGCAATCTTCTCGGCCATCATTGGCCTAGGCAACTCTGGTGCCGGTGAGAGGATTCTGGGGTAGATCTTTGGAGTCTCTTGTTTGGGGTTTACCGTCCTCAATCCGTCTTTACTCTTTCTTACCTTTTCTCTTCTAGTATTTTTCCATTTTGTAAAACCTTATTTTTCTATCAAAGTGGGTATCAACATCTTAGGGCATTTGGTTGTCGTGCGATATGTGCCAAAAAAAAAATGTGGATTTAGTAATTCCTTTTTGAATGAAACATGGATTTAGCTTCTTTTGGAATTGAATGGATTTAGCTCCTTTTGGAATGAAACTGTAATAATGTTGTTTACTTTCTTTTCGAAAGGTTATATTTATGTGTGATTTCACTATTATTATTTAAAAGGAAAGGTTTGCTGCTAAATTTGAATAAAATTTCAGTGACTTTATTGAGAAAATATGATTTATTTTTTATTTTTTTAGGTACAATAACATGTTTCATTCCAAAAGGAGCTAAATCCACGAAAATAAAAAATCTAAAAATTTAGTAAACATCAGAAAAGCCGAAGGGAAGATTTTTTCTTATCATTATTGGCAGATAATCAGGTCCATGCAGGGTGACACCTTTAACATATATAACAACATGAAGGTATACATGGCTAAAGGGAAAGTGGAGAAATAAAAAAGGCAATTTACTCAGAAGTACCCAAAGTGGATTTGGCTCCTTTTGGAATGAAACTCTTCACATATAAAAGGAAGACAAGTAATATAAAAGGAAAAACGAAGGCCCACGTCATTTACATAGAAGGTAGGTGGACAGATAACCTCGATGTTTTTAATCTAATTTCATCTGGGAGATCATTCCACAGCTTTGTTCCTACAAACGAAATACAAAATTGCCCTTGCGTTGTCTCACATATTGGTTGATAGATAGAGTAAGCCACTTTCTTTACACTGTAGAAGTAATCAACTGGGTCATACGACGTACAATACATACACATACACTACTACTAGGTCGAGCGTACTCGCACTACATACACATACAGTATTAATAATAATAATAAATTTAATTTATATAGCGCTAAATACAAATGTATTCGCATATCGCGCTCAAAAACAATAGCGCTACCAGTACCACAGACCATGCAATTATGTGCAGGCCTCGCATACCATAATGTGTACAATATAAATCAGTCAGCGCGCTATATTATATAGACATGGTTCGGATATTACTTGCACGCCCATATCCGATCGTCGTCTTGGCGAAAATTCACGGTGTGCTGCCGCTTGACCGAGAGGTGGCGCTATACAATTACACTGAACACGCCTCGAAAGTAAAATTTTTGATAAATAAAATCATTTGCAGTCGAACAGGTTTTTTGCATATAAATTCACTCTAATGTAATATTTCGGATTTATATCTTCAATGATGCATTCTTAGACATTTATTGTATGTTTTTTATGTTTAGATCATAGTTTCGTTCGCTAATGTGAGTATTGACCAACACTCAACTATTCCTTTAATGAATACTTTCACAGTCACATAATGAACAATCCCGGAATGCTCTTGCAACATCTTCTATGTAATGTTTAATGGTTTGTAGGTATATCAAGTTCTATTTTTGTTTTACACCATTGATCTAATTCTAAATTATGATGGAAATTAAAGATACACCTAAAAAGTGGAGCATTAATTAATTTGTGATTTAAAAGATACCCCATTTTCTCTTATGCAGCTTATATGTTAAATGCTTTAATACCGGTAATGATAATAAATACAACTGGTTTGGTTTGCTGATTTTTTTCTCAAATCACTTTGATGGAGAGTAAATGTGGTTTCTAAACACAAATCTTAGATGTTTTTTTAAGGATGTCATCAACTGTCCTCGAGTGATTCTCATCATTGTGTTCGTTTTAGATGGTGATATCAAGATTACCTCCTGGAGCCAGCGCAGGATCCACCTATTCCCTAGGAGGAGCCACAGTCCACCTGCCTTTGATTGAAGAGCCTCCTTGACGACACCCATCCTCCTTCTTTGATTGGAGGATAGTATGGTGTGTGTGTGCCACCAGGAGAATACTGATGGAGACCGGAATAGCTAGGTAATCTGCTGGAGCCAACGCTGGATCCTCATTTTATCTTCCTTTGCTCAAAGAGCCTCCTTGACAATCAGTACCAATTCTCCATCCCTTCATTGGAGGATAGCAGTGATCCTGGAATAGCTGCAGTATTGGTCACCTATAGCAGGAGCCTGAGCAGGAGCCAGTCAACTGCTTGATATACCAGAGCCGTGATGATGTTTTAAACATCTTCCATTTTGAAGATACTGTTGCCGTGGTAATGTAGTCACGTTAGCTCATGAGGGATCCCATTTTCTCTACCGGGAGCCATGCATTGCAGTCATCTGTCCAGTTGAATTATAATATGTTGATACTACTAAGTTGGTTCACTTTGATGGAGGATGCTGTCATAATGATACGTCCAAGTTGACTCCAGCTGGAGTCATTTGTCACCTATTGAACACCAAGGAGCGACTTTGAAGTAAATATACCAGTATGTTTGAAATTAATCTGGTTTAGAATCGCCACACATGACCGACACACTGGGTTATTTTATTTAGACAAATTTATTCTATCTTGTAATTTTTTTTTTTTAAATTTACATTAACAAATACGCACATTTGCCATTACAGACAATGAAATGGAATTGAATCAGTTGGCAAAAACACAATGCATTTTATCAGATAGTACATTGACATTCTACCTTTATTGCTGATAAGCCTCCATGCTTGCATGATATGTTTAATTTTAAAAATGCTAACATATTACTCAATAGTACTCTCTGACATACCTCAGATTCCTAAGATATAGTAATTAATCAATGAACGCAGTGAAAATGGACATCTCAGTGATAGTTATTTTCTTATTTTGGGTTATATGAGCTTGTATTTATCACTTATTCAAATTGTGACTATCATTGTATTGAGGAAATGGGGATGGGCTCAGATAAATTTTTATTGCAATGAAAAAGATGTTGGTCTTCAATGTTGCATGCACACAGAACACTTCTTTAAAAAAACAAAGTGATTCCATGTCTAGGAGTGAGATAGCTACTGAGAAATCCATTTCAGAATGTAAACATAACAAGGAATAGTATTAATTAATTCAGTGCCTTGTTTAACAAAAACATTTAACATTTAGACATAAATGATGTTAAATTATGCAGATTTAGTCTATGTTATGGGGATTAGACTACAGAGAAATAAAATGCTAATGAATTATTTATAGAATTGATTGAAGTCAGTAATTGATTTTGTTAGTATTAATGTTTTCCTCAGGAGAGTATGAATGGCATTTGTTTTGTTATAAGTAAGTCACTTCACATGAAACATTTCTTTTGATCTATATACATGACTTAACGGACGAACATTACAAATGCAAATGAAAACAAACAAACAAATTTAACAAATGAAATGTTAATATGAGAAAAATTGTATCAGAACACTACAATGAAACAAAATATAAAGAAAGAAAATATGACCAGGCATCAACGTAATGAGATATATGCAAAATTATAGCAAAAGTGGAAAATTGATGAAATTAATTAAAGATTTTTTTTTTTAAAATATCAAATTCCATAATGTTTCAACAAATGAATTACATGAAAACCAACAAACCTAAATAAGTTCATGTAACTCTCATAACTACTGTACATGTTCATGTCAATCTGTACTTTTGATCCTTTATGCACAAATGTTTAAATAAGCTCTGCTGCCAAAATGGAAATAAAAAAATGCAAACAAGGGTACAACATACTGCGTAACTCAATGTTTCACTTTTTCCTGTTTTTTGTCTGAAATAAGCATATTTATAATGTTAAAAGTTACGATTTTGTAAGGCATCTATATATAATTTTGACAAATCGATGGTCAAAATAGTTTTGAAAAATGAACATCTTTTGTAGTTAAATTTCAATTTTTCAAAAATAGAATATATTTAGTGCTTTCTATGAAATATAAGAACACATGGAAATACTAACAGACAGTTCAAATTTACTAATTCATACAAGTTTTATTATTTAAAATAATATTAGTCTAATATTGTACTGATGAATACATAATAACTTATAAAGAAGATAAACTAAAAAACAATTCACATTTACTAATTCAATGTATTAGTATTATGTTACAATTAAAAAAAAGATATTACAATACAAGTTTTAAAAATAAAAAAAATATTAGTCTGATATTTTGCTGATGAATATAACATGATAACTGATAAATAAGATTATATTGATGATGTTTATTTTACAATCAACATCACTAAACAGCATCGTTACCACCATATACTGATAATTATGGTGATGACGATGCAAACAGTAACTAAACTTTGCCAAAATCAAACAAAAAAATGAATAATCAATATTTATCTGTAAATTTTGTACACAGTGTGTCTCTGTGAATTCAAATATATGAAACGTCACATTCCAAAACTTTATTATACATTGTATGTACAGATGGAAGTACACATATGGCACAAAATCCTTGAAATACAAACCAGTATTCAACTGAGAGGATTATGTTGAGAATATATATGTCTTCAGATAAAAAAGGAAAGATAATGAGAATATAACAGAGAATATAAAGTAATGGACAGGGAAGAAAATTTGATGCTATATTCTGTGAACAAAAGGCCATTAACTCGATCTTACTTAGAGCTATCACCCTTTTGACTATTAATGGCAGACTATTCAGAGATGATATGGGATAAAATAAAAACTATTATGTCCTGAGAATGAATGTTGATTCAAAAAAAGAATATATATATATATATATATATAAGTATACTCTGTGATGAACACATAGAGAAGTGAATAATGTAGAGAGAAGAGGAAAGAAATGGATGAGATTGAAAGGAGGTTAGAGAGAAGAGAAGAGAGAGAGAGACCGAGGGGGGGGGGGAAGAATGAGAGAGAGAGAGTGAGATGGGGAGGGATAGAGAAAGAGAGAGTTGGTGGAGGGAAAAGGAGGTAAGGAGAAAGAGAGAGAGAAATAAAGATGGAGAGACAGGGGTAGGGAGGGAGAGACAAAAGGAGAGAGAGAGAGAGCGAGAGCAAGAGAGGAAGATAGAGAGAGAGAGAGAGAGAGAGAGAGAGAGAGAGAGAGAGGAAGATGGAGAGAGAGAGAGAGATGAAGAGAGTGCAACACGATTTTTAGGATTTCACGTCTCCAAGGCGGTGTTCAATGCCAATGAAATCGTCCAAGAGGGGATTTCTCAAAAGTCTGTGTAATCAGGGTACTCAAATAATTAATCCGATGCTTAGGCCACAGAAATATGATTTTTCTCCCTGCTTTGGGTTTTTAATCCCCATGTGTTATGTGCAGCATAGATTTCTGAAATTCAGCATTCTGTAAAGAGCACCAGAACCTTTAGGCATCAAATACTAGGTCTGACACCTGTTTCATAGAAAATCATTACAAATAACAACTCCCGGAATCTTAGAATGAATTTGTTCCCTACCGAGCGGATACAGGGATTTCAGTACAGCTTATATAATTTGTTGTAACTTGTTAATATTGAAAACAAGTTTTGTGAAACAGGGTCCTGATCCATGTTAAAATTGAGGTATGATGAGTCCGACAGCTGGAGAGTAGTTGCTGCCTCTGATTTATGGGATTTAAGGATCATGACTGAGGTTGGAAAGTCAACAATATTTATTTCATCAACAGTCTGGAACACGCCCCCCCCCCCCCCCCCCCCACGATCCTGTCGCCATCACCCCGATTTTGCTCCCTCAGCAGTTCGTCTTCGCGTGCGGCAGACGTGAAGTCTCTCTAAATGTACAGGAGTAAAAACTTCCACTTTCTGGGGAGCCATAATAATACGTACAGATTACTTTATTTGGAGTGGAAATCCATATTATCAAAACTAAAGAATAAAAGTGGAACCCACTTTCATAGGAGTTATGCAACCATTACTTTAAAGTGGAGAATAGGCTAAAAAATGATTTTGCAATGGATTCAAATCAAAATGAAGTGATCCCTACTTTAAACCCTCCCAAAAGATTGTAACTGCTCTGTATTAATTAAGATGATTCGGTGTTATGCTGTCGCACGGCACGCAAAGGAAGACTGCCACGATCATGATCCGAACTCGGAGATGAGGCGCTCGCCGACCACCAGGAGTGCTTCGAACATCTCTTCCACCGTGTATTTGATCTCCGTCTCTGGTAGTAAGAAGCCGTATTTCCCCTCGTCCCTGAGTTCGATTACGTACGTGTACTTGGCGCCCAGTGCCCCGTAGCCCCAGTCCTCGCTCGCACCAGCTGCCGGATCTGGAAGAAAAGGGTATTGTGACACCGTCAAATATGAACTCAAGTCTAGCTCGAGCAGCACATATATATGTGTTTTTCTTTGTTTTTCATTAGAGGGGGAGGGGGGGGGGGGGGGAGAGGAAGGGGGGGGGGGGAGAAGGAGGAGGCTGGTAACAGGGGGAGTCACTAGACAATTTTTGATGTAGGTTTCGGATGGGGCTGTCGAATCCCCCCACAAGTTATGAAGTTATAATGAAAGAAAAAAAAGCTATAGGGATACTATGAAAAAGTCAAAAACCGGTCGTCGGACTTTCAAACTCGCTGAAAAAGCCTTTTCTTCTCGCCAATAAAGCAAAAATAAAAATATCTAAAAACGGTCATCACTTTTTTAAATTTGCCACGTAGGCTAAGTTATTCAAACGGAGGGGAGGGGGGGGGGGGGGAGGGGGGAGGGGATGTCACATTTCTACATCCTCTCCTAACAACCTCTCCTGCGTATCTGGACAATCAACCCCGGATAATTATCCCCGGTAAACTGCCCCCGTGGACGATGATCCCTACCCTGATTTTGTTTTAATAAAAACAGATTTTTTTTCGGGGGGTAATTGTCCCCGAGGGGGATAGGGGGGGGGGGGGGGTAGGGGCGATTTTCCAAGGGGGTAATTGTCCTCGGGGGATGGTTGTCCTTGGGGTGTTATTTTCCGGGGAGGTTATTGTTCTCGGGGGGGGGGATTTTTCGGGGGTTAATGTCCTAGAACCCTTCTCCTGCTACGCTGACTGATAATAATTTGATATCCTGAAATTCGATCAACCCAAATTATCATTGTCAGAGGCATAATTATGTCTAAAGATCTCTGCTAAGCGAAAAATAGCAGCAATAACACCGACATCACCATAAAAACACTTTTGTACACGTCTATGCTCAGGTTTGTACTAAAAAGTTTGCAATGATCGGTCTGGCGATACCCTCTTTACCCCATCCAATGTTGGGTCACTAAGACAGTGCTCATATAGGCCGAATTGCGTCAATAATTCTTCTCAGTCGCACGCAATGTGTGGGTTTGATCCCTCCAAAGTGTGTTTTAAAATCTAAGATTATAGAATTAGAAGTGTGGTCCCGACAGCTTCTGCATTGACATTTCTTTTTCAGTACATGTACATTCATTTATGATCTAGCAAGTGAAAAATTGAAACGGCCATCGTATTCTTTCTGGGGAAGGTTAAGTTCTCGTATAACATAATGATGTCATTATTATCAGTATCAATTTCCTACGAGTCATGTATCGTTGAACAGATCTTTGTTTGTTGTCCACCTGCTGCCCTTCAATACACCCTCACCATTAGAAAAGATGTGAGTTCATATTTGATCTGTCTGACATTTACAAATTGTGTTGAATGTCCTGTTTAAGTGGTGGATGAAGGGGAGGGGGGGGGGGCGGAGGGGCACATGCCCCGGCCAAAACAAATTTTCTCCACACATTTATTACAGAACAAATATTGTATAGTACTAAGTAGGCCTATGCTCCTGTCGAAATTCAGAATCATTTTCGTATTTGCATGTATTTCTTTTCACTGTATCTATTCATTTATGTTTACTCTTTCTAAACAATTTTTATTAAATATTTCTTTTTTCGCTTGTCATATTATTTGGTGACAAATTAATATATCTGAAAATAAACTAAGCTAAATTCTTTTTGTATTTGTCTTGCTTTTTTTCCGGGGATTAAAACAAAAGAAGACTAAATGCTCCCAGGAAATTAAGAACTAGAGGGGGGGGGGGGGGGGGGGGGGGCTCGTTAACATCTTTCGACACCTGTGCACCCCGCTCAGATAATTACATCATGGATTTGCCACTGCGTTTTATTTGACATCAAAAGTAAACTTTAGTCAGTGCATTCATTCATACTAGAAAGTATATATTTCTTTTTGAAAAACATTATATAATAAAAACAACTTATACACACTCTCTCTCTCTCTCTGGGCTCGGTCTCTCTCTCTCTGTCTGTCTGTCTCTCTCTCTGTCTCTGTCTCTCTCTCTCTGTCTCTGTCTGTCTCTGTCTGTCTCTCTCTGTGTCTGTGTCTGTGTCTCTGTCTGTCTGTATCTGTCTCTCTCTCATTCTCTCATTCTCTCTCTCTCTCTCTCTCTCTCTCTCTTTTAAATCATTTTTCTTCATTTTCATTTGGTTGGGGGCGTGTGGCATTCTGTGCTTTTCTTTGCTCCCTTACACCACAAAAAATGTACACTGCTCAATAGGAGATTCCTTCTCAATAAGGGATTCCTTTTATAAAAGGAGACGGGAAAAAAAATTTGAAACATTTTTAAAGTGAACTTACAAAAATCGGGTCCTGATTCTCCGACAAAGTAGTCCATACCATGTTTAGCTGTAATAGCATCTTCGGCAGCCATTGCTAGGGACCGCTGTCGAAATAATTAAAACAAAAATTGCTCATATACTTTCTTCAGGTATAGGGCAGGCTTTATGAAAACCCAGCGAAATTGAGAATATAGGCTGTCACACTCGTATTTCGTACAAATGTTTTAGTCTCATTTTACCTCTTTGTTTAACTTAACATTATGAAGGGGGAACAAACTCATAATTTTGCAATTTGACAGGCCTGGATGAAAAAAAGGGTTAGCGCTAAAGTGCTTTCGGAGTATTGACTACACTTCTGGGGATAAGCGCTTACACTCTAATTACGGTACATGTCAGTGAAGAGAAAAATACATCTACAATTAGTGTAAGTGCTGAGTGCAAAACACATAAGTTGCTGCGAGGAATATGAAGAAATTAAAATTTGGATTAAAGAGTGGCAACTATCGCTTGTAGATATCTAATTACATGGAGATAGTCCGCTGTGCGAACTTGAAATACGATGCGGTCAAAAGGCAGAGAGAGAGAGAGAGGGAGAGAGGGGGAGGGGGAGGGAGAAAGAGAGAGAGAGAGACAGACACAGAGACAGAAAGAGAGACAGACATACAGACATAATGAGTATGCATGGGAACAAAAAAAAAAAACATAATGGAAGAAAGCGACAATATAGGAAAGAAATGTGATAGATAGTTAGTGCAGAAGCAAAATATAATTATTTTTACAACTGTAGTCATAATATGTGAATATGTGAATTTCGTCTACGGCTGATTGTCAACGAAATGGAGTTAAGTCTTTTGTCATCTCTGTTTATTGCTACGGTAGGCACCCAGTGAAAACGAATTCGTTTGATAAAATTATGGATATGCAAGCACCACTTTAAACAAACAGAACTTTGTCATTCCTTGCTCATTTTTCCTGATTGAGGTGTCATATGAAAGGGCAGAAACTCAACTTTCTAGAAATGTGATTTTTATCTTGAAATTCAGATACCGTCCGCCAAATGACTTTTTGGTTTCCTCTCTTCAAATTCATTTTAATCACTCATGCGTGAAATGTGTATTATATGAGGTACATCAAAATAAAGAGGAGGATCTAAGCTTTCCAAATAATGTGTCATTTATCAATTATAAATGTGATTAAGTTATGATAAAACATCGATAATTCTCGGTTTCGTTTTTTCTGGGACGCACTGTATATATAAATATATATTATTTTCATCAAATTCTACGTAGCTTTGAAATGTTTTGGTGACAAATACAAACACAAAATACTAAGAAAACAAAGGAAGAATTCAATTGTTATCTACCAGATCGCGTCTATCGGGCAGGGGGACAGTTTTCGAGCCCGTGTAGCCCCATGGGTAGAGCCAGTACTGTCCGTAGCTGTGAACATCCAAGAAGAGATGAACACCATTGGTTTGTTGTTTTTCAAGAAGAAAGCTGGTTACACCCTCGTGCTCCGGCTCCGATAGTGGGCTAGGACCCCGGTAGGTCTCACTGCAGCTCACTGGGCTAGCTCCATCACCTGAGGGATAGACAACAACATTTTAAACTCACTTCATTCAATTTAGTTCAGTTTTAAATCAGTTGAACTGAATTCCAAACATTAACCATTTAAATGCCTTAATACAATTCAATTTGATTCAGTTTGACTCATCTTAGCCTATATCCAATTCAATAAAAATAAATTAAATATGATTAAATGCAAACTAATTACATTTTATTTGACTTAATGGCAGCCGAGGTGGAAACGCCACTTTTTCAAGTATGATTTGAAATGTATAATCAAATAAATTATTGGTGGGGTACTTTTTTTTTCTTCTCCAGACAAGCCCCAAAACCTTTTGGTAGCTGTGTAAAATTTCACCCCTGCGTCAAGGGGTTGCGTCGGTGGCCTGGGGCTGCGCCTCGGCCTGTCATATGTTTTTATATGCCAGAATATCCTTCATGGGCATCATGCAATATAAGGCTCATTGCACACGAGGCTTGATCGCTGACGTAGGAATGCGTCAAAGACGGGTGTCGTCACCGATGCGCCATTGATCAGAGTGATATCGTTCAGAAATTGAATGCTAAAAAATTGTGCAAACTTTGCTATGAAATAAGTGCATGTGTACGCAGTTGTTACACTTAGAGGCTCGATTAGCACAGTTATAGCGCAATCGAATAACGCCTCGTGCGAAACATTTCACATGAAACATCTCTTGAACTTACCTCCCCATTCATAGGCATAATTTCTGTTGAGGTCGATTCCTGTGCAAACGTTTCCGTCAGGCTTGCGTCTGTTTTTACGCCACATACGGTCCTGCAGTTTTGAACAGTGAAGGTAAAAAGAAAAAAAAACGTTTAAAGCTGATACTCTAAGACAATCCCAAATACTGAGATAATTACATAAATAGAAAGCTTTTAACCCCCATAATAACACCAAATGGTGTCCACCCGACAAAACAAGTTTAGAATAATGAATTTATTCAGGTAAACTCTACCAAAATATCTGAAAGTCTGAAACCCGGAAGTGCACGTAGAGTCGGGCCTCTATCCGTGACGTCACGAACGGGAGTCGTGGGCTAAGTAAGAGTGAATGGCAGTGATATCCCTACGTAAATGCTATCCTGTCAGAGCTTAGATTTGTTGTTGTTAAGGAGTATATTTGATGGATTTTCTGTTTTCATTTGAATGAAGAATAACGAAGCAACATTTTCCAGTCGCTGATTTGTTTTTATATCCTCATATTCACCTATTTGGTAGAGATTTAAGACGAGTTTACAGCTTAGGAATTAAAGTTAAATCGTGCACGTATGAATAGGCGGATGCATATATATTGTCATCAGATAAGGTACAGGAGCAGTTTTGTAAAACGAATAGGTCTAGAACTATGATAGTACTTATCATAGATGTGTGTGACTGCCTCAAAAAAGGATACAGTACCAGTTAAACATTTTATGTTGTAAAATGTCAAACTTGAACGAGATCATGCAAGCGCGCTTCCTCTATAATATTTTGGCGAGTGACGCGGCTCTTGCATGAACGTTCGTGAAGCGAGCAGAATCGGGAGGTAAGACCAAGCCGCTGCTCTAGGCGCTGCTTGCTTGTGATGGAACGTACGTGCGCTAGTTATATGTTTATCGGCAATTGCAAGAGAATGAAAGCGACGTTGCCAGCTAAGAAAAACAACTAACAAAGACTTGCTCCTGACTACCGGTGTCAGAATTGGTAGATGAAGGATCTTCAGGGCCAAGGAAGGCGAAAGACATGGGGAAAAAGGAAGAAGAAACCATCGGGAGATCGCTGTAGTGTATGGTAATGAACTGTGCATGGGTAGACAGCTACTGTTCACTCCGTGCCTGGGCCGATTTCAACACCAAAACAAAAATTACATGGTGAAAATATCGACTAATAGCACATCGTTGGCATGTATATGTCATAATTTTTAAAAGGGGGAATTGACATTAATACTATGAAGTACTAGAGGAAGGTAAAGAATTGTACATAGAATTATAATTTATTAGACTTTTCAGCCTTTGAAACAAAAATATGCAGAAAATCGTATCACTCTGCACATGTTTGCTATGGAACATCCGGGTACGTGAATATACTCTTTCCCGGACGTGAGGCAATAATAGACCAGCGCCGTGACTGATTTTCTATGCAAAGAGAGGCGGATATTTTCGACATTTCAATTGAGGATTTCGAGTAGACAGAATTTTTTTGTGATATACTAAGTAATTGAAAAACTTAAAAATAACATATACTTGACGTAGGTAACAAATTAAGGGACATTTATTTGCTTAGAGAGAGAGAGGATGGGAGAGAAAGAGATGATAAAGTATGAGGAGAGTTGAATAAAAGGAGAAGAAAGAGGGAGAGAGGGGGAGAGAAAATGAAAATTCGAAAGAGTGATCGAGAGAGTTAGAGAAAGAGAGAGAAAGAGTATGAACAGAGAAAATTAGAAACAAGAGAGAGACAGAGAGAGAGACAGAGAGAGAGAGAGAGAGACAGAGAGAGAGAGAGAGAGAGAGGGAGGAAGAGAGGGAGAGAGAGAGAGAGAGAAATAAGGATAGAGAGAGAGAGAGAGAAAAAAAAAAGGAGAGATAAATATTTCTGCTTATATTAGGTGCCGTATCTGACTTTAAGGCAAAGACCCTGTAGCGATATGAATGAAATTGCATACACGTATGTTCTGGATGTAAGCAAAGAGCTAATTTGGATCACGAGTTCAATGCAAATACTTCACAGAAATGCATTAATGGTCATATTCTACATTATATGTCTACAAATGTTCATTAGTGCTTCAACTGAACTTATCATTAGGTAAAACGAACGGGACGATGATATCATTATGAGGGCGAAATTTAATTGCTGGGATATTCAGGGACTAGAAATGACTTTAAACAGAAATAAGTCATGGTGAAAAATATTAAAATCATAGGCCTATGAGATATCAGCGAGACTAAATAATCAGTAAAATCAGAATAAGATGCACAAACTGATAATATAGACTTGTAATACGAGGGTTGTGATGGAATCAAGTTAGAATACGAGGAATAGACATAGAAAATGGGAGAAATAGACTATAAAGTCAACAGGTAAAGAAATAAACTGAAAACCCTTTAGAAAAATATAGGTTTTATAAAGCAGGAAAAATAAAGAAATAAGAGAGAAGAAGAAGAAGAAGAAGAAGAAGAAGAAGAATAAGAAGGTGAAAGAAGAAGAAAATGAATAAAGATGAAATAAGAGAGAAGAACAAGAAGATTATCGGAATTGAAAATTCACGATAAGGATTACGATTAAGGATTTTTTAAAAATGAATAAGATGATTAGACTTACGTTTGTCCATGTGTATGAGTATCCGTCGGGGTTTAATACAGGTACAATATACCAGTCAAATGTATCCAACATTGCTTTAACTTTATCATTTGTGTTGTATCCATCGATAAGCTATGAGAGATCAATGAAAAAGGAAAGTAAAATTAAAAAGACAAAAAGAAAAAGGAAATGCTTGGTGTTATTCCATTTTTTTTTACAGCTTATCACCTTTTGTCATACACTGTAATAAGACATCAAAAAATATTGTAACAAATCGTATTTATGTTTTTACTATGTAACGTAATATTATGTCAACGGCAAGTAAGTTGTATTAAATTCATTTTTCTAGGTCCTCTTTTAAATCCAATTGTTTAAGATTTAAAATAAACGTATACTATATGACTTAATGCAAGAGACCAAGAGTCGCATTTTTATTTTTCACATCATTGACATTTTATGCTCATTATGACCATTGGCGTAATGTTGAAAACCTTGGGGGGGGGGGGCAAATAGAAAGAAAAAAACATTTTGAATCTCGGTCATCAAGAGTTCATATAAATATTTTGGTTGGTTGGTTTGATTTACCTGATTGCTAAGAAAGCATGTGTATGCTTGTAAGTATTCAACCAGGGGACTGACGGCTTGAAGTCCTCTCCGAGTGACCCGGTAATGAGGATTAATGCCTTACCAGAGGGCACTGGCGCATCCACTTGGTTTCGAACCCGGGACCTGTCCCAATTACGAGACCACTGCTCTACCACTGAGCCATCGCGCCATCGCGCCTCACATTGCATGTTAAAAAAGGATAATATAGTTTCGTATTAAAGGTTTTAATCTGTAAATTACTTGTTTGACGAGTCCCATCATGGTAGCTGGGCTGACCCACTCCCGAGCATGGATACCACCTTGGATGTAGGCTATAGGCTTGTTGCCCTGGTTACCGGGTGCACCAAGCTTGATGGGGAGATGAAAAAAAAAATTTCGTCAAATTCATTCAATCTGATATTGGCTTTGATTAGATTGTTATTATATTCAACATAATTACAAGCTAGGTAGAGAGATGAAGAAAAACTTTCACAATCATTCAATCTGCTTTTGGTTCGATATGATTTGGTATTATATTCAATATATATAAATTGATAGATTAATAGCTTTTAAGATGGAGGGATGGAAAAAACTGCATCACAATCATTAAATCTGATGTTGGTTCGAATCGATTTGATTTGCTATCACGTTCAACTCATATAAACCGATTTCTGAAATTACCACGAGAATGTAATTTGGCACTGTACGAGATTAGATTCCATATTGCATCGTTTTATTGCAATAATTGATTTATAGTGAGAAGGAAGTAGGGGAAATCCCGGTATAGTGTGGTCCACCTGAACATCATAATCAATTTGAATATGACTCATTTACAGCAAAATTAAAAACTAAAATCCAAACTCCTTTAGGGGAGGCCCATTTTCAATCCCCTATACTAGCCACAAATTGGCTCGCAACAACGATGTCCAGTAGTGGAGTGTGGTTGTATAAAAATCAATCAATTGAATATCATTTTAATACATTTTTGTGAAAAGAAAAAAAGAATATAAATTATACATAATTGACAAAATTGATTCCAAAGTAGTTTAATTACTTTGATAGCTGTGACAGGGCGGCCTTCGTGTGATGTTGATAGCTGCTCCCGACTTGCTATCATGTAATTCTCGTTCGCTGTATCTGTAATCCATTTATAAATCTGGAAAATTAAACAAAAAGACAGAACCAATTAGGAGTAATCTAGCTTTTGGCTCTCGAGGAAACATCTTCCTACATAATTTCGTATGGGATGAAATTTAAAAAAAATTAAGCACGATGCTTTTTAAAGATACTATGTCCCATTTGCAGGCCAAAAAATGTAAACGTTAAATTCCAACAGCATTTGGGAAGAAAATACTTATTGAGAACTTCACTAAAAAAAAAAAAAGGGGGGGGGGGCGGGGGAGAGGGGCTTTGAAAATGTCTGTAAGTGGGAAAATAACGGCTATTAGTTTTTGTCGAATCGACTTAAGAGCTATAGATAAGAGCCAAAGTAAGTAATAGTCAGATTTTCAGACCATTGTACTCAATGGTCGTACGTTTTATGCTGCGCAAAGATTCTATCAGTTTAATTTTGGCCATTACAAGAAGTAGGTTATTGACAAATGCTCATGTACCCTTTACAGCTCATTTTATGTATGCTATTACAAAAGAAGAAAAAAGCCAGTCAGTCAATCAATAGTTTCTGACAGTGAAGTCTAGCAAGTAAACGGGTTTCCTTGCATAATTTGAATATTAGGACACTGCCAACGTTTACATTTCACAGATAGGACAAAAATGACATATTCATAATTGCTGCAAAGTTCTACATAATTTGATGTTGGATGCAAAAAGGACATAGTATATTTAACAGTAGCCAATCAAAGTGGTCTGCAAGAGGAAGGGAGAGAGGAGAGAGAGAAGGAGATAGAGGGGTAAGAGGAGAAGGGAGCGAGGGAGAGAGAGAGAGAGTGAGAGAGAGAGAGAGAGAGAGAGAAAGGGGAGATAAGTGGAGGGATAGGGGGAGAGGAAGAGAGAGAGAGAGAGGGACAGAGAGGGTGAGAGGAGAAGGAAGAGAGAGGAGAGAAGAGGAAAGGAGAGAAGAGGAGAGGAGAGACAGAGAGAGAGAGAGAGAGAAATAAATAATAAGCGAGTTCGTAAATAGCCACTGGAGTCGTATGACGTCAACGTGTCATAGGTCACATGAACATAAACTTACCCGTTCACTCGTACGCTCTGCGTAATGTACATAGGGCTACGTGAAAATGTGCGTTCGTCCTTCATTGTTTATGCCTAGGTCACATTTGCCGCGGCGGCCGTGCGGTCTAAAATATTTACGGTCAATAGCAATTATAGGACCGCCGCAGCATTCCCACGGTCACATACGGTCGCGGTCACATATAATTATGTAAGGGTAGCCGCGCGGCGTATTTCGAATTGTTGAGACAGAATATTTGCGACTGCCGTACGGCCTTTGAAGTGATGACGCATGGTCGCCTTAGGCGGCATCCGTAGCTTGTTGACAAATACTAAGGCAGACGCAAGGTATAGCCGCAAGGCGGCCGAAGGGGGACAATACGGCGACCGTGCGGCCAAACTGATGCTACCGCTTTACCCCTGGAGTATATAAAACGCAAGGCTACCGTACACCCGACGTACGTTCGCCATAGAACCGCTCTACGGCATGGCCATGGCGTGTCTACTTGCTAGGGCGAATCTATAAATAAAACAGTAATGATGTTATCATCTTTAATAAGTTTTTTGCTTAATATCTGTCTGTAATTATTTACTACTTTAACTCATTTATTTTGTACATGACTGTTGGGGACCCCACTGAAAATAGCTCTCGAGCTTTCGTGGGCTATCCTTGTCCAAGCTGACTTAATTTTTTTAAATCTGTTATTCTTGTATATTGTTGTAACTATGTTGGAAGCATGGCGAATAAAAATCATTTAATCAATCAATCAATCAACCAGGAGTATATTCCTCGTGGTGTAAGTCCCGTCCTATGGGAAATTTGATGATCTTAACACGCAAGGGGGACTCGCACCACGAGGAATATATAAACAGTTGTGTTTTTAGTCAGATTCTTTTGATGTTAGTGATAAACTATTACAGCAAATATTCATTTAACACCAGTCTAGGTATCAAATAATATGACTCTAAACACTATAAAACTGTTTATATATTCCTCGTAGTCCGAGTCCCCCTTACGTGTTAAAATCATCACTCATAGAGGGAGATTCGGATCACGAGGAGTATATTCCTCGTGGTGTAAGTCCAGGCGCGGTTCCACGGGGGGGGGGGGGGGGGGGGGGGGGCGACGAGCCCGGCCTCCCCACCCCCTGACCACAACAACAACAAAAGTTTTTTTTTTTTAATCTCACGAATTGTGAAAAAAAGAGTGCTCTCTTCCCCCCCCCCCCCCCCCCCCCCCCCGATTATTCACCGGCTGGCTGAGTCGCCGCTAAAAATTCCCTCCAAAATTGGACAAAAAAAGAAGATACAAAAAGAGTGCTCTTGCAATATTAAGCGAAAATCCTACATTTTGGCTGCCAGGGGCGTAAATCCTGGGGAAGGGGGGGGGGGGGGCTGCATCACCCTGGCTTGAATTATGGGGGATGGCCTGTACAAACATCCCCTCCTGATATTACAAAAAAAAAAGAGAGGAAAAAAAGGAAAAAGAAGAAGAAGAAAAAAATGTGATTGTTTCAATTTCAGCATAATGCATGAGAAATTAGTTTGTTTTTTTAATGTATGTATAACTGTATAGCCTACACGTATACAGTATGTCACTATCATTAAGAATAGTTGCGCGACGTGCGCGAACAAGCACTTCATAAACTTCAGAATAATTTTTCGTTATTTTGCAAGGTACTATTTTAGCCCAGACGTAAAGTGCGCCAGCGCGCGAGTCACTTAAAAAGTGCAATCATGTACAGTAGATGCCCGGCTCCCCCCACTCATTGTTATTTAGGGTACGCGTATGCTCGTTCCCTCCCTTTGAAAGCACCCCCCCCCCTATCTCAGGACTGCCAACATTTCTGAATCCCCCTTTCGCCGGCTTTTCGCTGGCTTTTCCTGCCTTGGAGACCCCCACCCCCAAATCCGGAACACTGCTAAATGTACCACCCCCCCCCCAATTTCAGGTGAGCTCTAGTCGATCGAGAGGGACTGGGGGCCAATGTTTTTACTTTTCAAAATGAAATGATCCTGAATGAGCTTTCAAAGCTAGCAGGAATTTCAGGAATTTGATCCCGGGATTTGATCAATTTTTCTATGATATTCAAGATATTTTATAACCCCCTTTTTACATTTCTCAGGAGTCCAAAGAGAGAGAAAAAAAAACCCACCCCCTTTTTAATGAAATTAAGAGTCGAGAACGGTACAACGAATCGTCTTCATTCTCTAATGATTTAATGAAACGTAAAAGCTTCCGCGCTTTGCGCGGGATGGGGGACAGTAAAAACTGAATTCAGATGAGGATTAAAAGTCGAGAACGGTACAACGAATCGTCTTCTTTTTCTAATGATTTAATGAAACGTAAAAGCTTCCGCGCTTCGCGCGGGAGGGGGGGGGGGGGGGGGGGGGGGGGACTAAATTCAGACGAGGATTAAGAGTCGAGTGTGTAAGTGTGTTTGTGCGTGCGCGATCGCGCGCGCCTGCGTAAATTAGTATGGGCGTGTGCTCGTGCTAGTATGTGATGGCTATCGCCGATCATCCCCCCCCCCCCACTCCTCGGTACGGATTTACGCCCCTGTTGGATGCCATACTAAATTGCTCAACAATATATTCCCCCGGGTTTTTAGATAGTTTTGAGCATCCTCCGTAAAAAAACATAATAAATTCGTTTTCGAGGGTTGACAATGAAAATAGAATAAACAGTAGAAACAGATCCTAAATAAAGAAATAAACAGCTTGTCGTGTTGGTTTGAAGCATTATATTCAAAGACCCGAACAGCTTTATCTTTATTATCCATATAATGACGTCTATAATCACTCTGAGATGAAGGATAATACCTATACGAAATGCATTAAGCAGCGTCTAGACATAAAGGTCGAATCTCAACTTTATTTTTCTTATTCTTCTTTTACATTTCGAAGCATTGCATGGGATCTTAATCCTGTTTTTTCTACATATATCAATGACCCCATTTAAGCATACTTTGGATCTGGTCACGTTTCGAAAAGTTCGTGGCCTAGAATTATATTTCTGTTGATGATCAAATAAATAAAGCACCTTTTATAGATCAGGGAGAGTGTGAAAAAAACACACAGTAGGAGCAGTGCAATTTAAATATCAAGGGATGTATTAGAGTTTATTTCTGAAATGATATGAAAGGGCTATTTGATTTCAAGAGTCCTTTAGTTATTTTCATTTAAGAAATAACCTCTCTTCTCTCTTAGAGATACTTTTTCTTGAAAGTCAAATAAACTCGAGAGCAACCTGGGGCTCCGCCCCGGAACCCCCGGCAGGGGCTCTGCCAGACCCCTCAAGCTGTGCCATATTGTACGGATCCATTAGAAAGCAAAATAAGCCCAATAAATAATTCGTATATATATATATATAGAGAGAGAGAGAGAGAGAGAGGAGAGAGAGAGAGAGAGAGAGGGAGAAAGAGAGAGAGAGAGAGAGAGAGAGAGATATATAGTTATCCTATGCAAACTTTCCTCTGTGAAATGCATAACAAATTCGTTTTCGAGGGTTGGCAATGAAAATAGATAAACATTAGAAACAGACCATGAATAAAGAAATAAACAGCTTGGTCGATTTGTTTTGAAGCATTATCTTCAAAACCCCGGAAAGCTTAAACTACATTATCCTTAATAATAACGTCTATAATCACTCTGAGATGGAACAAAATACCTATACGAAATGCATTAAGCAACGTCTAGACATAAAGGTCGAATCTCAACTTTATTTTTCTTATTCTTCTTTTACATTTCGAAGCGTTGCATGGGATATTAATCCTGTTTTTCTACATACACCAATGCCCCCATTCAAGCATACTTTGAATCTGGTCACGCTTCAAAAAGTTCGTGGCCTAGAATTGTGTTTCTGTTGATGATCAAATAAATAAAGCACCTTTTATAGATCAGGGTGAGTGTGAAAAAAGCACATAGTAGGAGCAGTGCAATTTAAATATCAAGGGATGTATTAGAGTTTATTTCTAAAATGATATGAAAGGGCTATTTGATTTCAAGAGTCCTTTAGTTTTTTTCATTTAAGAAATAACCTCTCTTTCTCTCTTAGAGACACTTTCTCTTGAAAGTCAAATAAACTCGAGAGCAACCTGGGGCTCCGCCCCGGAACCCCCGGCAGGGGCTCTGCCAGACCCCTCAAGCTGTGCCATACTGTACGGATCCATTAGAAAGCAAAATAAGCCCAATAAATAATTCGTATATATATATATATAGAGAGAGAGAGAGAGAGAGAGAGAGAGAGGGAGAGAGAGAGAGGGAGAGAGAGAGAGAGAGAGATATATATATATATATATATAATATATATATATATATATATATTATATATATAGTTATCCTATGCAAACTTTCCTCTGTGAAATGCATAACAAATTCGTTTTCGAGGATTGGCAATGAAAATAGATAAACAGTAGAAACAGACCATGAATAAAGAAATAAACAGCTTGGTCGATTTGTTTTGAAGCATTATCTTCAAAACCCCGGAAAGCTTAAGCTATATTATCCTTAATAATAACGTCTATAATCACTCTGAGTTGAGATGGAAGAAAATACCTAAATGCATTAAGCAACGTCTAAACATAAAGGCGCGCTTTGGTGGATACAATTTTGGAAGTTAGGAAATGTTTTTTTCAGAGTAAAAGTGTCCGTGGATCCGAGTCCCCGGGGACTTGGATCACGATAGCCGATAATACTTTACCGATGACCAGATTCAAGTAAAGTTTACTATAAAGAACCAATTCCGACATTCAGAAATGATTTTCGGTGACTGATGTGTCAGATATGATCATTCACAACGGAAAGGCCAGCACAGTTCCTCTCTCAGCTCTCTGTTCATGTGACCTTTGGAAAATTCGTTCCCAATTTTGGCGCATGCGCATTGTGCAATTACGAACTCGCTTATTCAACTCACCTCTTCCAATGTATGGTATACCGTGTAGTTAAACTCATTATTATCAGTAATTTGTGTAGTGCTTCGTTTTCTTCTCTTAAAAACTGTCTCTGCTTCTTTGGACATGATCTCCTGAACATCAGCGATCTGAAAGAATCATCGGATAAATATCAGTTAAGCAACTTGATTCATGTTATTTCAAGTTTCATCATCACAAGTACTACTATTTTACAACTATCCGCCGCTACAGCTATAATCAATAACAAAACATCAGTTATTGCTATTATTATACTACTACTTCTATTACTACTACTACTACTACTACTACTACTACTACTACTACTACTACTACTACTACTACTACTACTACTACTTCTACTGCTGCTACTAATACTGTTGATACTGCTGCTACTACTACTTCTACTTCTTACTCTTCTTTTACCACCACTACTACTACTACTACTACTACTACTACTACTTGCTCCAGCTGATGATACTACTACTAGTACCAGTACCACCATCCTAACCATCGTGCACCATCACCACCATCATCATAAATTCAGTGGCGGATCTAGAGGGGTGGGGCCTCCCCTGGCTACAAAAACAGGTACATTTAACTTTAAAATAAAAAAAGGGGGGGGGGAAAGAAGACGGGTCCCTCCCCCTGGGGGAGGGGTGGGTTTTGAGCAATACTAAAATAGTGCTCCTTATACCCCCCCCCCCCCCGCTTAATCGCCGGCTGGCTGATTTGTCGCTAAATATTTCCTCCCTTGCCGACCCTGATTAGAGTCACCATCATATAACACAGCGCCATCACGATGACCTTCAAAACTATCATTACACACCATCATCACACTGTGATTCACACCATCATTATCACCATCATCATCTTGATCATCCATCATCATCATCATTGTCATCATCACCATTATCATCAAAACAAAAACAACGAAAACAAAAACAACAACAGCACCAACAACAATGCTCCTCAGACACTTAAGTTGTGTTTTTCAAAATTTTACAATGCTTTACTTTGTCAACTCGAATAACTACATGCCACTCGCATTTCAGAATAATAATATTAATAAAAAATATATAACGCTCCTAAAAATCTTCAAAACGCGTTACAGCAAATAACGGGCAGGTGGTCATAATTCCTGGTAACCCTTTGCCCAAGACTAATCTGGAAATATTGAGTAATTACCATGGGAACTGTAACACCCGATGTTGGTATCTACTTAATTAGTTTTAATCTAGATTATATTTATCTTCCTCTACGATAAGAAAATGAAAGAAGGCTGTAAATATTGATGGCATTACCAGTGACATAATCTTGATAGTTACTTCCAACTTAAAACCCAACCTAAAATATGTGATGACAATATTTCTAGGGGGAGAGATATGTTTACACGGCAAACAGTTCGCTCTTTATTTCTTTAAAATGTGTGAAATAGTATCCACGAGAGTGGAATACAACCCTCATAAATGCTTGCTTTGGATCGAATAAGACATCGAATTGCACGACTCACGGAGTAAATGAAGAAAGAAGGGAAGACAAAAGAGACGAAATCAAGAACTTACAGTTGGTATATGAATATGGAGAGAAGAACAAGAAAAATGAGAAAGAGAATGAGCCTCGACGTATACTTATCATGACACATTTTATGTAAGCGATATAAATAGAAACTTCTTCAATTATTCACGAACGCATGAATAGATAACCTAATTTCTTTAAAACAAAACAAACACAGGATGGAGCTTTGAAACAAGCCTTGCCCTACAATGTTTGCAGTAATACATTAAGATATGATTTAATTCTTTTCCCCACACTTCCCAGATTCCTTCCCTATCTCACATGTCTCAGAGCAAATTGCGTATAATTATACTCAAGAAAAGACTTATATATTTTTTTTCTCTCTCTCTCTCTCTGTCTCTCTAAGTCTCTCTTTACTTAACTCCCCTCCCTCTTCCCCATTCTCATCTCAACTTATTTATATTTTAGTCAGAGGTCAGTTTAATCCGAGGAAAACCCCAAATTCCGACCACAGGATAGGCCTATATTATACTACTACTACTACTACTACTACTAGTAGTAGTAGTAGTAGTAGTAGTAGTAGTAGTAGTAGTAGTAGTAGTAGAAGTGTTACTTTTCACATATCTCCAATCATGTGCTAATGCTTGAAATAACGGACTGCACAATGTTTGATCTAAACTGGAGTACACAATGAAAAATTAAACAAACACAACATATGTAGGTAGATGTAATTGTCCTTGAACGAGTGACTAAACATATTGATTTTCCGAGTCCCTTGTATGTACTTAACATTTAAACTGTGTCAATCTTAATGTTGCTCGCCGTAAATCAATGCCCCGACTTTTCCTAATAATTCGAGTCCGATGGTAGGCATTACACTTCTTTATTGTACAAGGAAATATGTATTATCTTCAAGATTCAAAGTCAGATTTGCGCAATTCATTTGCTTGATACAGAGCTAAACTCATCCGGTTTTGGGGGTATTAGCAAGGTCTGGCTCAAGTTACATTTTCTTTTTTCATTAACAAATAACCACACATGGCACCATGTTGATTCAATTCATTAAATGAATAAAATCAAGGGCTCCCCCTTCAGCGTCAAGGCCATGCAAGCCTCGCGGAGACGGATGTAGCTAAGGTTAAATCACCTGAATTATTTGTTTAATATTGTCGCTGTAATATCCCATATCCTTGCTCGTCCATCGACGAATGAATAAATTAACTGTTCGCTACTATCAAAACTTTCAGCGGAATTGAAGAGCTACTGGTTAGAGGTCAGGATATTTTTTAATTTCTTTAGTGCATCGCGTAATTTTCGATTTTCGATTGTTCAAATTGAAGTTGGATAAAATGATGGCCGTCTTGGTCGATTAAATGCTAATTAGCTTCCAATTTAACGTTAAAACAACGATGACGATTACGACGACGACGACGACATCAACAAAGGCAACAACAACTTGATTGTGGCTACTTTGAATATGGCCAGTACTTTAACAAATTTTCAAAGTAAAGTTGTTGATGCGCAAAGTTAAAGAATATTTTTAATTTGTGTATCATGGCTACTACAAGATATACCTATTTAAGTTTTAAAATAATAACAGTCATTAACAAAATAGTGGTATAGGGGCGTAAACATAAAATATAGGCAAAACGGGTTGGTGGGGCGAGGACAATGATCCTTCTACTTGGTCGACTCAGTGTGACTGAAAGGGTCCTTCCCCACAGTGCAACAAACTATATTTTCTCACTTTGTTCTTCCTATTGTTCTTTTCCCTCTCTCCATACAAGTAATCGTCGTTCTGTTTAGTCATTTGGCTGTGAAGCAAGTGCCCATCAGTGACACCCCCTCCGACGGTACGCCTTTGCATAGCGGCGACTGCATAAATTGTCTTGCTGCACAAACTGATATAGACACACCAAATTTATGCTTGGGGTTTTCATGGTGCTCTAATGTAATTTGCCCTTTTCAATCACTAGGGGCTATACTATTTCTTGCCTTAAAACAAAATCGGGGAAACCAACGACACTCTCTCGCAGAGTGCAATGATCTGTATAATTACGAGACAGAAGACAATAAGGGAGATCCCCAAACAACATGGACATCAGAACAGGAAATTTAATTTGGGGCGAATATTCGGATGAACTTTCGGTCATCGCTGTTTAAAAAGAAAACGTGCATCCTTAACGGCCTATTATGAGGCGGTGAGTTTAAAGGGCAAGTCCACTCCAAAAATAACTTTCTTATAATAGAAGCAGAGAAATCAGACAAATCAATCAAAAAGGGTTTGAGCAAAATCGGATAACTAATAAGAAAGTTATGAATTTTTGAAAAAGTATGTAAAACCATGGAACAATGGAAATCACTTCACAAATTGCAAATTGGGTTATGAGTTTGTGACGTCATGTCCTCAGTATTTATCAATGCCTTTCTATGTCTTAATCCCATTAATCTCAATTTTATCCCCCAAAAATTGATTTCCCCATGCATCTGCCCAGGTTATATGATTCATATCATATTGCGTGCATGACATTTCACAACATCGTTAATGAAATTCGAAGAATTTATACTATTTTATGAATATTATATATTCATAATTATTGAATTTTATATAAATAGTCTATCAAAATTCACATTTGTCATGATCTAACTAAAAGAATTACTCTATATTAGTGCATCCACACAAAAACATTTTACTATCAATCTATAACTTGGATGCTGGTGTGAAGAAATAAGATTCTTATAAATTGGAAATTTATATTATCAATATAAAGAAAACAATGAGTGGATAGTGAGGCAATGATGTCACAGACTCATGAGTGAGTTGCCAATTAGTCTTGTGCTTTTCAAAGATGTTCAAGTCATCAAAAATTCATAACTTTCTTATTAGTAATGAAATTTTGCTCAATTTTTTTTGATTGGTTTGTCTGATTTTTCTGCTTCTATTAAAAAAAAGTTATTTTTGGAGTGGACCTGCCCTTCAAAGCGAAAGCATCTTGTATGATCCGCTGTCGTTATGTGTTCCATTTTCAGGTTTTTGTTGTGCCAGATTTGGGTGAAACAGTGGACATGGTTGGAAACATTAACGAGAGATTACAATGCATGCGCAGACAAACCCTACTTTATGGGTGTATACTGAATTTGATGGACCGAATCTTAGAGAGAAGATTATCTAGATTGGCTTCATGCTTCGATCACCAAACTTTGATTAATGTATCTATTCAGAAAATCAGTTCCATTCACTGATGGCGTAACAATATGTCGCAATGCGCAACAGTGATCTGTCTCAAGTGTATGATATTGATCACAGGGTATTTAATTAATCATTGTCTACTTGTGCGCATATAATATGACACATAGGCGCCGGAAGTGGAGGGGGGGCAGTTGCCCCCCCCCCCAATCAAAAAAGTGGGGGGGGGGGGCAAAACGCATTTTTGCCCCCCCAAAACGCCCCCCCCCTCAAAAAAAAAACGGTAAAGGAGTAAACCTGGTTTGTATTTTTAACCCAAAAGAACATAACAATAATAAAAACCTGAATTAAATCACATATACAATTCCATTCAAAGAAAAGGAAAGTTCACAGGAATTAAATTTCATAAACATTGCGCATGCCACCAATACGGTATTTATCAATGGAGGTCTTACGC